AAACTGCGCTTATGTGCTTCGCGGCTCTTGTTTTTGGCGTGTTTGCCGCGGCTGCTGCAGTGCTTGCTCTTTTGCAAGCACAGGAAGACGAAAAGACATGGCCAAAGAATGACGCCCGGGCCATGACATGGCCCGGGCGTCATAAGCCTGGACAACTAACTTCTGCGGTGTGCAGAACCCACTTCCCAGAAGAGCAAAAGGGACAATGTCCCGGCAGTCTCCTCTGCTATTTGTCATGCAAAATTCACTACAAACTCACCACTTCTCATGCTAACGGGTGTTAAAGCTCTAAACCCAGCTCCTCAACCTCATTCGGAGAACTACGAGTATGCTGTGCAAAAGTATCGTACTCGTATAAATGCATTACAAATTGCATCAGCATGACAAAAAGAATTTGTCATGCTGTTTTCGATTGGGATGGAGATTTGTAATGCATAATTGCAATTCATACGAGTACGATACTTTTGCACAGGATAACGAGGAGCAGGAAGCAATTTCCCAGTAGTCCCCCAACAAGCAGTATCCAAGAAAAAAACGTTGTTAGTGTAAATCTGTGATGCGCAACATGCAAGACGATTGCGTCTGTCATGCTTGGCATGCATCGTAGGGTCCAATAAAGGGCGTTTTCGCGTACTATCTGCGCATGACAGGTTTTTGCTGTCATGCCAGACATATTTGTAATGCTGTTCCTCCAAAGAAGTTACACCTACAATGTTTTTTTCTTGGATAAGCAGGTCAGCCTCTCCTGCAGCCCGGCTTGGAGCTTTCTTTCTCGCCACCTCAAGGCCCCCGCCGCTATTCGAACGCATACTATCCAATACAGAACCAATCTGGCCAGACCAACGCTTCAGGAATTATGGAGCAGCAAGACAGGATGAATTTAAATTTAACCTCCTCGCAGGCGAAGCGGAGACTCCAAAACGACAACCCGTGGCTTGACGCGCAGTTAGTTCGCGCGCTCTCTATCCGGGATGTGTCTCAACAGCAAGGACTCGTGGCCCAAGGAATCAACGGTAATATGGTCGTGCCGCAAAGTAATAGTGGGACGTATTTCATTGCAGCAGAAGTAGAAGATGTTGGAGCTCCTGCTGGTGGTGTGATGGAGTACACCACTAGTACACGACGCGCAGAGGAGCAGCAACATCAGCAACCTGAAGGAGAGCAGGCCCCGTTGGAGGAGGACTTTCTACTTCCAAAAATTTGATGACGCAGCTCCCTGCTTTTGAAATATAAAATTTTGGAGTACTACACGAAAGAAAAATCACGATGTCGTGTAAGTTTCTGACTCGAGGTTGTCGTCTAACATTTTGACCACAAGTAGCTTAGTACGAGGAGATCGCATAGAAGTTTTAACTCCTCACTCGTGTATGATGCTGTTGAGGATGAAATCGTGCAAATTTAGGTCAATCAAACGAAGTAAGTGTCTTTTATTTGACCTAAGCGACATATACGACAACGACTACGACAAGAACGTACTAGGTGCAGGTAGTTGTACCCACTGGTATTACAACCAAGATGCAGCTCTCAGTGAGCTTGCCAGCCAACAAGCCCTGTACTAGAAAATGAAAATAGAAGCGATTCGCGCAAAAAAGACAGCCTCCTTGCTGCGCCAAGAAAAGAAAGGCCCAGGCTCCGATGTTGCAGTCTTGAACGACCCTCGATGTTCAATAGCAGCGACATGCTCGCTTGCAACAACGACACTTCGACGCTCCTGTTTCGCCCGCCGTTCTTGTGAAAACGATGGTGCGTGCACACTGCTTAAGTGCCGTGTTGTGTCGTGGCCGCTGACTTGAGTGGCGTTTTGAAAGGTAACAAGGTTACCATAGGCGTCGACTGACACGGAAGTAGTCCTCGATAACTACCACTGCATGAAGACGAAGAACAAGAGGGAATGCAAGCTCAACCCAGCAGCTAGTACGTGACTATGGCCGCCTCTGCTGATGTTGGGGAACAGGACGGCCAGGGCACTGCGTCTGTTGCCGATGGAGGTGGTACGGAAAATCTTCAGCCTGCCGCATTGCAGGATCAAACCGCTACAACGCCTCGCCCCTGGGGTTTGCATTTCCCCGACATCTGGATAAACATTTCCCGGGGGGATGGGTCTGCAGAGGTGGCGGAAAAATTGCAGGAAGAACGGAAAGACGCTGTTGCCGAGCTTGCTGTGCGATATTTCGCGTGTACAACAGCATCATCTTCTGCGGGACCACAGCATGAAGAGCCGCCTGTTGACGAAGAAGTTAGATTGTCAACGGAGGATATCCAAGGAAAAAGGAATTACAGTTACACATTTGTAGTGAATTCAGCATCACGATCACAAATTTGCCTTGTAATGCAGGGATCATAAGGCAAAACACACGCAAAACGAGACCTGCAAGCATTTTGAGCATGACAGAGGTCGTCTGTCTTGCATGTCTTGCAACACAATGTCAATGTGTAGCTTTAACACTCTTTTCGTTGCATAGAGGACATTCTTGTTGACCCTTTGGAAGGCGGAATCTCCAACTTGCTCTACAAGGCAACGAACAATAAAGGCGGCGCAGCAGGAAAAAATGCGGAGAGCAGTCACGCCAATAGTTGTACAGCCCATACCGCAGTCCTAATTCGTCTCTTCGGCGACAGTAAGACGAAAAAAGCCATGTCCGTGTGTGAGCGGACCACGGAAAACCAAATCTGCTACGATTTGTTCGCAAAAGCAGACATCGGAGCGGGGGTGCTTGCGACATTCGCGAATGGAAGAATAGAGCGGTTCTTCACGGGGTCAAGGGCGTTGGAGCCGACCGAAATGCTTGTTGGAGAGATTTCCGTGCAGATTGCCAAGAAACAAGCGGAGTTTCATCAGGTATAATAATAATTCGTTTTCGAGTGTAGTTTTGGGTCAGTTGTTACCATCTCAAGCTCGACTACATGAGCATGTTGGTTTGGTTTGGTACGCGCAATGGAACTGCATAAGTACTGGCTTGTTTTTACTTCCCAGTAGTCAGTACTTACTGCCTGCTCAACTTTCTCTTCTAACCACAGGTGGCCTTCGACGTTTCCTCTCGGCCAGCGAAGAACGAAGCCAGCACGAAAACGACACCCAAAAGCGAGATCTGGAGCAAACTGCACGACTGGGTTGAGAAGGCTCGTCACGCCGCAGCCTCGCCGAAGGCGCAAAACAGGCTAGATGTCGAAGAGCTGAGCGCCGAGCTCGCATTTTGGGAAACGTGGTTTGCGAAAATCGACGAGGAAAATAATGACGCTGCGAGCGAGCAGGAGAAGGAGAAGATCACCACCATTACACCAAGAACATCATCCGAAAAAAGATTATCCGACTACAACACCGCACGCCGATTTTGGAGCGAAGTAGTCTTCTGTCACCAGGATCTCCTCGGAGGCAACGTGCTGGTAGATGAGCAGAACAAAACCGCAAGTACAACTACTTCTGCTGACACGACAAACACGAAGGAAATGAAAATCAACAAAAACTCCATGCGATTGATCGACTTCGAGTACGCGTGCTGGAACCACCGGGGTCACGACATCGCGAACCACTTCAACGCGATACCGGAGTCGATGCTTATCGTCGCGAACAAGTTTGACCCGGATGAATTTTTTCCGAGTAGGGAGCACGTGAAGAAGTACGTGGCAAGTTACCTGCAGGAGCTTTTCAAGATAAAGCACGGCATAAGTAAAGATGAAACTGCAGAGCAGGCTGCAGTAGAAAATGCTCAGCCGCAAATGGACTCGTCCTCCACCTCCGCGGTCGTCGAGGTCCTCACTTCCGACTCCGGGCTCGACGCGCTCCTCGAGTACTGCCCTTTGGCCGAGCTGTACTGGATCCTCTGGGCGGTGATTCTTAGCGCCACGTCCGATGTGGGCTTTGACTACCAGAACTACGCCGAAATGCGGTGGAACGCGGGGTACAAAAAGTACAAAAAGGAAGTGCTCGCGAGAAGAGAAAACCTGCTAGAGGCAGCTGGTTCGTCGAATAGTAAAAGACCGAAGAGCACCTTCTGCGCGTTTGGAGGTGGCTCTTGCGCGCGCGCGAAGTGATTCCATTTGCGCTATATTCATATCCGTGTGGGTAAAAACAACTAACTTTGAATTTTTGACAACTAAGCGCCTGCTTCGAGTTCTTGTTCTGTGACCAAAAGTACCACCAGTGCATTTTAGTAGTGATGAACGCCAACGCGATAGAATGAAGATGTTGTGGTCGACCATGCGGGTGCCGTGACCCTAGCAGTGCATTACATAAAAGTTTTTCAAAAGTACATCGTTTCGACGACGTGATCTATTTCTTGCGATCGCAGCTTTTTTCTGCTTCCAGCAACAGTGTCTGGACAAATCGGTTCTGGGGAAGATATCTTCACTTCAAACCATTTACATCCAGAAAACATTTTCGACACTGAAGTGTTGGAGAAAGCTTCGTTTCGATAGTTTGCCTCTGTGAATATCCGAGCTGTAGTGGTGGCACTAAAAAACCGGATTTACTGAACTTTCAGAGAGTCAGGATGTGGCACTGAGTCACGACGTTATTCTTATTTCTAAAAGAAGAGAGTACCTATAATTGGAAGGGCGGGCCGGCGCATGTTCGGAGTGTAAACAAAGACGAGAGTTATGATGTTCAAGTAGCAGCGTTGAGGTTGCACATCTTGTTGTCACGAGTAGAGCTACACCTACACTGCGCATCATTAAAAATGCTGGCATTGTGGATGCTTCATTCGTCGCTGCACAGACACGACTCATCCTGGCTGAGGAAGAGAACTTCGCCATGTGTAACTGGAGGAGCACAGCGTACACCTGCCAGTCGTGCTGAACCGCGGGTCACGACCACCGCGTCAACCTCAACCGGGCTGTCGTCTTCGTGGTAGGCAGAGGTGTATCCCATCCGCAACCAGCACTAGTGGATCATGCTGGAAGCCCCTACAGGAACGAGCGGCGCGCCCGTGCGGCGCATGTCGCGGTCGATGACGACCATTCAGAATCCTGACGGCGGACCGACTCTTTTACGCGAATCTGGCCAGCTATGGAACTGTCAGGATCGAAATCGTCAAAGTTGAAATAATTTGTCATGCATAAAATGCAAGGCACGAAGTGCCTGTCTTGCCGGGATGGCAAATGAGGCCGATTGTGAGCCTGTTTCGGGTTTGAAATAGAGCTGCTAAAGTAGCATGACAAAAGCAGTCTTCTGTGCGCAAACAGCATGACAAATTGGATTCCGATGCTCGGAAAATTTGTCATGCGCCGCTTGATATGTGGGCTTCCGACTGGCATCCATTTTATGCATGACAAACTATTTCAATTTCAACTTTGACGATTTCAATCCTGACACGCCCATAACAGCCCTCGCAACCCTTTGTTCGAAGCGTGCGACGCTCGCAAACACGGCCGGAGTCAGACTTGCTGGATCCAGGTACAACTATGGTGGTAGGGCACAATTACCAAACGATAGCATATGAGAAAATAAATGACAACAGTGTAACATCAGAGCCACTAGATCTAGAACTAGCAGTAGTTTTGCATAATCAATACACCCACACACGACCATCAGGTGGGCTCATGGTGGGCAGTCCGAACCGTCGGAGCTTCCTTCGCCCCCAGCTCTCCCGCCAGGGCACCCTGGATTCCCCGGAGAGTCGCCGCGCGTCCGTGGTCGCCGGGCCACCGCCGTCGTCCAGAGACATGATGGGCGGAGGAGTAGGTGGGACTGACATCATCGAGGCCAGCGAGCGGGAAAGTTTGAAGGGCGGCGGCGGTGGGGGGCAACCGCAGCACCAGCACCACGGCTTTGGGTTCCGGTCGACGAGCAGGTCGAGAATATGGGACGACGTGCAGGAGGGGAATAATTTGCTGAAAACGTTTTTGGAACCGACAGGAAACAGTCCGGCGAAGGGAATAGGTTTCTGGTTTTTTCTTTGATTTTTGTGATTGTATGAAAGCGGGAACGAACGAACGTGTGGAAGTAGCCAGTGTACCCTTCTTTCCAACGACAATCTCAAGCTGCATCTGCTTTTTGGATATCAAGTAAAAAAGCAGTTGCACAAATAGTCGCAGGACACACTAATCGCACTCGCACATCACCAGATAGCAGAAAACATATCAACACCGGCAGTTCCCCGCGCCAACTCGCAGACCCAGCTGGACAAGATTCTTCACCACGGTGGGTTATCAAATGCAAAAATGTCTGGGTCTGGAGGAGTGGAAACTTGTCATGCATATTTCCATGTCCCAGGAGGTTTGGCATGCAGGAGCTAGCATGACAGATTCTGCGAAGTCTCTATCAAGCCTATCCTGCATGACAAACTGCCACGAAACTTGTTCAAACGTGGACACCTTTTGGTAATCATGCAACACAAATTTTTGCACTATCCAGACTTAGCATGACAAGTTCCAACCTTCCAGACCCAGACATTTTTGCATTTGATACGGGTCGGTTCTGGACAACATTCACGAGGTGGTGAACGAAGTGAAGCTCATGGACAGCCAGAATCCGCATTCTCTAAGAGCCTTTGTCGCGAAGAAGAAGCTGCTGCTCTGGCTGTTCATGGAAGAACCGTTTCTCACCCCGGTTTCCACGGCTTACTCCCTCGGGATGATTGTGCTGGTCGTGTTTGGGTTTTACACTGCAGTGAAGCCACAGGTACTCATTTTTACGAGCATTCAGAACAACTGCTGCGATTTCTTGCAATGCTGTGAATGCTGCGAATGTTGTGTTTGTGATGCATAAAAATAAAATTAAAAGCAATTATGACGACAAAAACTAGACCTACGAAGCCTTCACCGGTGAGTTCCACGATACCGCCTGGGTGGAGGAGAAGCTTTTTTGGTGGACGTTCGCAATTAACCTCATCTGCACGCTGGAGACCGCACTACGCTTCTCGGTCGCACCGGTGAAGATGAAGTTCATAAACCAAGTTTCGAACCTGTTCGACATTCTGGCGGTGCTCCCCTTCTGGATCAACAATTGTTTCCGGCTAGACAAACACGTCTCCCCCGGCCTCCGTTACATCTCCGTTTTCGGTGCGGTTTTCTGGTTGGTCAAGCTCTGCAGATATTTCCCAGGTTGGTACCTACTCCGCATGGCATTGCGGAACAGCATGGCGGCTTTGTTAATCCCGGTGTTTTTCCTGTTGATGATGGGTGTTGCGGGGGCGTCGCTCGTGTTGACGTTTGACTGGATTTCTGCCGTGAACGGCGGGATCCCCTTGCAGATCTCTTCCTGGATGAAGGCTTTTCACTACATCATGGTGGTCACCATCTCCATCGACGTATCACCAGTTTACGGGACCGCGGCGCAATCCGCCTTGGCGCAAGCGATCGCGGTGTTGTGGATGTATTTGGGTGTGATTTTCCTCTCCATGCCCATCGCAATCGTGGGAACGTGCTTCTCCCAGACCTGGTTCGACCAGGACAGAATCGTGTTAGTGGAGAAGGTCCGATCGAGAATGCGGCAGCAGGGGTACACGACGGACGACTTGCGGGAGGTTTTTGACGAGGTGGATGAGGACGGGTCAGGCGAGATCGATTTCTACGAGTTCAAGCGCATGCTCGAAGCGTTCCACTTCTTCGCGCCGATCGGGAAAACGAGGAAACTCTTCAACCACTTCGATACTAATGGGACAGGCTCAATAAGTTATCAGGAGTTCGTCTGCGTCATTTTTCCCGAGATCACCGACATTGTCGACTGGGACACGCAACGGGTGGATCGAGACGCTTTGGAGGTGATAGAGGAGGTGGAATCCGATTTGGAAGAAGACTCCTCCGCCCTGTACAGCAGTACCGGCAGTAGTGGTGCGGATGATGAGAGCTCGGAGTCGTTTCTGCAAAAACGATCTAGATCGCAGTCGTTGGACAAAAAGTCGGTGAACTTTTCGAAGACAAGTAGCGAAGACGAGGAGGAGGACGAGGATGGGCCGGCGCGGTTGAGCATCCCGGGGCTGATATCGAAGGGAAAATTGGTCGTGCACAATCCTCTAAAGGAAGAAAAGCCTGATGCTGGTCGTGAACCGCCTGATAAAGACAATAAGAGTGCAACTACAGCTGCAACAGTAGGAGCTGCATCAGAACCACCTCCACCAGCAGATGACAGCACAGCCGGCGGGGGTGGCGAAAATGGTACAGATGATGCAAAAGCGGAACAAGGCGTGGTCACGCAACAAGACAACCCCACTCCCGACTTGAACGACAGTAGCATGTTGATCAACGTTCCAGATCATGACACCTCTTTCGCATCATCCGGGAAAAAAAATCAAGCCACGTCACAGAAACAAGCACCAGGCGGCACAAATCCACGCGAGGAAATCGGCGGTAGCTCTGGATCTTCAAAAAACTCAAAGGAAGAGCAGGCGGACAACCCAGCAGATCCGAATCCTGCGTCACCAATGGCAGCAGGAGCCAATGACGCCCCACCACCTCAGAAAAACGGCGAAGAAACTTCTACCCAAGTAGAAATGAAGCCAGAATCACCGCCTCCCGACGACCCCGTCCCGGAGCGCGTTGTCCCGCGCAGAAGGCAGCAGAGCAGTACCGCCCGTCCGAGGATTGGCACAGTGGAGTCCGTAGCATCACGAGCGTCGAGGCGGTCCACGCGGTCCGGGAGGCGAAGCAGGCGGGAGAGCAGTGGTCGGCGGTCGTCTAATCGCGACGAAAACGGCGGGAATTCCGCAGTAGAGAAGAACAGCTCCCTGGTTTCGGCGTTGAGCGTCGCGGCGTTAAATCTGGGGAAAGCGGCAATACGAAGAGGAAGCTCCATGGTATCGATTTTGGCTGTGAGAAGATGATGCTCTACCATGTTGCAACATTTTCATCCACCTCGCAGAATTTTGATTTTTTAGTAGAGGTGTCGCACAGTAGAAGCACTCCTGCAAACCGCAATCGCACTACACAGGTTTCCCTCGGACCCAACGACGAGGAACTGCTGGGTCAAAACATCGTGGTGGACAAGGGCGTAATGCGCCGGACCCGGTCTACCGACGGCTTTGCGGCGGGCTCGCTCACCGGCAGCTTGGGGCTTGCCTCCGGCGGAACCAGTCCGCCGCCACGGGGCGGCGCGCTGGCCGCCATGGCCTCTGGTGGTAGATACTAACTTTTTGCCGAAAAAATTATCGGGAAGATGATCTTGATGGAAGACATGCAAGTGCCGATGTAGTATTTCTTCTAGTGAAGAACAAGCTCCTTGTTCGAAAACAAAAAATCGCACCCACCCCTGGAGGTTCCTCCATTACAACAGGTCCGATCCCACGCGGCAGACGTTCGGGTGGAGAGCAGCTACAATCAAGACCTTCTGGCGGCGCAGCAACGGCCAGTTCCACCAAATCTTCTGCCAGACCACTTGAACAAGCCGTCGACGGAAATATTAATCTCGTCCCTGTTGCTCGCACTCTTTCCGCCGGCGCCGCCAGGGTGTCTCCGGCCAGTGGCGCTGCCGGCATTTTCAGTTCCCTGTTTGGTCGGAGTTCTTCGAGGAAGACCGACGCAGCGAGGGGGGCCCCAGAGATCACGACAAGCGCTGCGATGGGGGGAGGTGGAGGTGGAATCGTGCCAACAACAAGCATATCGAATGTAAAAATGTCTGGGTCTGGAACATTCTGACGCTTGTCATGCACGTTTTGCATGAGCCCTGATGTCTGTGATGCATGCCCTAGCATCACAGATTTTTTCAGACCTTCTTGATGCCTATTCCGCATGACAAATGCCCTCTCCGCGCAGCAAAAATTACATTCCTTTTGGTACTCATGCAATACAGATTTTTCTGGAATCCAAATGTAGCATCACAAGTTGCATTCTTCCAGACCCATACACTTTTACATTTGATAAAGCAAACTCGGCGTTCTTACCGGGAAAACCGCGTCGCCGGTAAGAGGGGCGTGGGTGATCTTGATCGGACTATACTTTTTTACTTTCAGCTCCTTCTTCTTCATCGTCTATGCCGCTGCAGCTCTTTTTGTGGCTCAGCTTGCACGCACGAAAGATGATGAGCTTTTTAACAAAAACAGGTCGAGGCCGCGCTCCGCCAGAGTTTTGGCGCCACACACCTTCTTCGCCAGTCGCATACAGCGACAGATAGCCGCAGAAGCCTGTTGCATAACCCGAACTCCGCCGTGGCGGCAGTCTCAGACGCCGATAGTGCGCTCCTGCGCACGAGCGTGACAGCCACTGGCGGAGGTCTTACTACAACCGGCGCAACTGCAGCACCAGGCGGTGGCCCCGTGAAGAAAACGCGGTCAAGGGGGATGAAGACAAAGGATCAGAACAAGCGTGGAGGTCGAGGAGGCCAGAACGGAACGGGATCATCTGGGGGAATAATCAGCGGCAGTTTTGATCCTTTGAACAACAGCACGGGAACATCAACAGCTGCAAGCAGCGTGCCTAATTCGCTACCCCACAGCGTAGGTACACTATCGAGCCTGCAGCACCGGGAGCAGGCTGGAAACGGTACTCTCTTCGGCACTCACGTGGGCTCACGAGGGGGTCCGCCGGGTCCGGGTGGGTTTTGGCTCGCCGGCGGATTCGGAGGTGCAGTGGGCGGGAACAGCGGTGGAAATAATTCAAATATCGGAGGAAGTGGCGGGAGCAACAGTGGCAGTGCTGGGAACAGCAATGTTGACCTTCCGACCGTTTTACAACGAGTCACCGCACGAGTGACCACACTGGAGCAGCAGCTGAACCAAATCGCTGATTTCCAAAAGCAGTGTCTGGCGGTGTTAAGCTCGACCAACTTGTCCTCCACCAGCTCGCCGTCTAATGCCGGAGGCAATGGTGGTACCGCGACAGCACCAAACGGTGCAGGAGCTGCTGCTGGTTCCACAGCGTCCTCTTCCCAGACTTCCTCAGTCTCGAAAATGGCATCGTTGACCCTGGAAGCGCCACAGTCTTCGAATCAGCGCCGCGGCAGCAGCTCCAGTCGGCGCGGCAGTACGGCGAGTAGAAGGGGAAGTGCGGTCAGCAGGAGAGGGAGCACTGCGAGTAGGAGGGGGAGTGTGGAAAAGGAGATGAATCAGCAGCATGGCGTCATACCAACTGCAAATGCAAATTCGACAGTCACCATACCGGGTTCTACTTCCCTGCCGTTGAAGAACCACAGACGCGGAAGTTTGGAGAAGATTGCCGGCGTTTTGAATTTGGACCGACTCGTCGCGTCCACCAGTTTGATGGGCACTTCTTCCCAAAACCACCGACGCGCATCCAGGACCAGTATCATCACCTCCTCGGAGTTCTACCGCGGGCTCGGAGCGTCCCAAACGCTGCCGGGCAGTGGGGGTGCGGGGACCGGAAGTGTGAATTTAAGGCGGTCGAGCAATTTGGGCGGCGCGCGGAGCAGCCTGATTGTTCCGGGAGGTCGAGGCTCGGTGTCTTTGGGTGGACCAGGGAGTAGTGGCGCAGCTGGTGGTCCTTCAGGGGCAGCGTTGGTAGAGATCGTGTCGCACGAAAGTGGCGGGGGTCAAAACAGTAGTACGTCCTCCTTTGGACTGGATATGAACAACGCAGCTGCTGCTGTAAAAAAGAAGCTGCAGATCAATACAGATCTGAATGTCGAGCGGGAATTCGTGCAAACACCTTCGGAAGATCTTCAAAACAGCAGCACGGGGGGAGGCGGTGGTACAACTAGTAGTGGAGCAGGAGGGCCAACGACGAATCAAGATGCCGGTCCTCCTGGTCGTTCGCAACAACAAGAAACCACCAGCCAGGAACCGGAAGTGTATCCGGAGCAGTAGGAATTGTGCAGATGAAGCAGGAGGTATAGGTAGAATCTCAATCTGATTTGTACATCTTTTGGATGGGGAGCATGGCTTTCCGTACACTCGAATTAAGGTTTTCACAACGCAGTATACAAGTGAACAAGAACACAGTGACATCTTTCAGGCAGTTATTATTTGAAGTGACGAGTGATATATGATGTCTTGAATCGGACCCAGAAGTAGATTTAATAGTATAAACACGGTTTTTTTTCTCGAACAAAGAATTTCTAGGCTAATACTCAAGCCATTTTCCTTTGTAATTTACAAAGCCGGGCGCGGGCACACGTCGCACAGGCGCAAAGTCTGCATCGTGTCCGCCCGTCGTCCTGCTAAGCTAGTAACGTCGTCAATACCCGTAGCAATTCGAAACCTAGCGATTTAAGTTCACTAGAAAAAAGGTCAGATATGAAAGGCAAGAACGCTCAAGAGGAAAAAGTCATCAGGCGCGACCAATAGCAATAAGTGACAGTGCAGTTTGACTTTGACGAAGACGAAGCTGATCTAATATCAGGACGAACGAAAAGAAGAATGCCTGACGCACTTCCATCTTTTCCTGCACCAGCTTGGCGTACAGCAAGGCCGACTTTTGTTCTCACTTCTCATAGTATGACTCTAGTAGATACGGAGACGGACACCACTCTTGCAGCTGCCCTGATAAAAAAATTTCGATCAATCGGTCGTGCGCGCAGTGCAATGCTCTCATGAGTAGACTCTACTACATCTCAGTCTCACGACTCGTACGATGCCAATGCCCTTTGGTAAAATATTTCGGTCGTATTCGTATTGAAACTCTCTCATACGTCGTTTTTCCTTTTCGTTCTTCTGCTTCTGTTGTCGTTCATTTGTTGAAAATAATCGTTCGTCTGCTTCCATTCAGTGCATTTTCAATCGGTGAAACCACTCGAATTTTTCTCAAAAAATACGAATTAAAACTCCGCATACCAAAACCAATCAAATTTCAGGCCCCCAGTCAGTCAGTACACGACCTATAATTGTAAATTTGTTTCTCTGCACCCGAAAGCGTTTCTGTCCCCAAAGTTGTATATCGTCGATCATATATTCATGTCCTCCCCCACCCGGCGAAGAAGTGTTACCCTCATTCAAACGATTCTCACAAGAACCACAAACTTAAACCGCAACCACAAACACCAAAAATGTTCGCTTCCCTCCTATCATTCGGCCTGCAGGAGGAGGAGAAGGAGGCGGAGGAGCGCAAAAAGCAGGAACTCGCGAAGAAGCCCAAGCTCCGGGGGCGCGAGTGCCCCGGCGCCGAGCACATCGTGGCAAGAATGGAGGTGGAGCGGGAGGCGAGCTACGCCTACACCTTTCCCTGCCCGGAGAACGGCTACCAAGTGATGCGCAGGCCGCAGAGCCGGGCGAAAATTGCTGGCGTGAAACTGCCGAAAATTCGAGGTACACATGATTGATTCTAAGGAGGGCTTGTTTTTTCTTTTAGTGCGGCCAGATTCTTTTCCACTCTGATACTGATTCATTGATTGTCCCCTTGCATGCAAAGGTGTCCTTCCTTCTTGAAAGAGTAAGAGAAAGAACAAGAAGCAGAAAAGAATTAGTAATTCCATGATCCAAATGCAAATCCCATCCACTTCTACTTCAGGCGAGGACCAGACCACGCCTCTCCCTCCTCAAACCGTCGAGGAGCAGAAGTGTCCGGGCGCGGCGCACATCCGAAAGAAGATGGAGATGGAGAAAAAGGCAATAAACGCCCTGAAAACCCCCTGCCCGCAAAACAACTACAGCGTGTACATCGACGGCAATGCCATGCAGGCGAAATTGCGCGCCAAGGAGAAACTTCTGGCCAAGCAGATGAAGGAAAAAACCTCCTCCGGCCCCCGGCCGGCGCTGCGCAGTAAGCCCGAAGTGGTGTTCTCGGCGCAAATTGAGAAGAGCGTGCTGGAAAAGAGTCTGGCGGAAATGGAAACGGCAGTGAAGAAGCTGGAAGTGGAGAGCAATAAATCTGGAGAGGAAGAGGAAGAAGATGATCTAGATTTCGGGATGATTTCCAGCTACGGGGGCGTCCGGCGAAGCAAAGCGAGTGGAACTACTGGCACAGCTCCTCATGTAGCCGGCAGCGGGCGCGTGGCGGCGAAAAGAGTTGCCGTGCGTGGGGCTGCAGCTTCGGCAGAGAGTGACAACGAGGGAAGTAATATGGACGAAGATTTTGGCATGATCTCCAGCTATGGTGGGGTGCGGAGGAGCAAGGCCTCGGGTACCTCTAGCCCGAGGACTTCGAAATCAGCAGGCGGTAGGAGTAAGAAAAACACCACAAGACGAGTTGACATGCCGCCAGAAAGCGACGAGGACATCGATTTTGGGATGATCTCCAGCTACGGCGGAGTGCGGAGGAGCAAGGCTTCGGGTACTTCTAGCCCGAGGACTTCGAAACCAGCAGGTGGTAAGACAACTAAGAAAAACACCGCAAAACGAGTTGATATGCCGCCAGAAAGCGACGAGGAGATCGATTTTGGGATGATCTCTAGCTACGGCGGAGTGCGGAGGAGCAAGGCCACGTCGGGTCGTACTTCCAGCCCGACTTCGAGCGCAGGACCACCGCAAAGTAAGAAAAACACCGCAAGTAGACGAGTTGATGTGCCCCCAGAAAGCGACGAAGAAATCGATTTTGGGATGATCTCTAGCTACGGTGGCGTCAGACGCAGTAAAGCAACTGGAGTTCAGCATGCAAAGTCGCCGAGTAGTACTTCTGGGGCGGTGCAAGAGACGCCGAAGCAGGAGGAAGAGGACCTGGAAGATTTTGGCATGATCTCAAGTTACGGGGGCGTCCGACGCAGCAAAGCGACGGCTAGCCCGACACATCAGCGACAAGCCAGTCCTGTACATGCGGTTTCTACTTCAACAACTACAGCTGCAGCAACAGAGCAGGCTCCCGCTGCGAGCGAAGACGAGGATGAAATTGATGCCGGTATGATCTCGAGCTACGGTGGTGTCAGGCGAAGCAAGGCAACGGCACCAGGAACAAAGACAGGAGCGTCCACAAAAGTACGAGAAACAACTATCGTCCCAGCAGCTCAACAAGCCCCTCTCGAGTCCGACGAAGAGGACATCGACTTTGGAATGATTTCCAGCTATGGCGGAGTCAGAAGGAGCAAAGCCAGCGCCGTCGGTACTTCCCCTACAACAGGTGCAGCCGAAGGTGGAACCGCAGTGGGGGCGGAAGACGGCTCAACTGCAGGGGAGAGCAAAGTAGCGGAGCACGTCGTGCCCGCTCCAGTTAGTGACGATGATGAAGGGGACGACTTGGACGCGGGCATGATCTCCAGTTACGGTGGTGTCAGGCGCAGTAAGACAACGGAACAGCCTGTTCTGCAAAAGTCCACGGCTCCTCCGACAGTAGTTTCAGCTGAAGACAAGGAGGCAGGTGGTCAACCTGCAGAACAAGTGGCAGCACAAAATGAAGCTAATGTCGAAACTACACAACAAGAAGTTCCAGTAGAAGAAGACGAAGAGGATCTGGATGCCGGTATGATTTCCAGCTACGCTGGGGTCAAACGGTCCAAGGCTGGTGCCACTGCTTAAGCCTCGTAGGTACAAGAACTCGGGCGAACATTGCCTGCTTGGCGTGCAACGACACTCGCAAAACTACGAGCATTTCATGCACTTCCTATCAAGTGACGACCCATTTTCTTTTTGTTTATTATATGTTAGTTCCCCATTCATTGTGTTTCTATCTTCTAGATTTTATTTGCGATATCTGCTGCATTTTCGGTAGTAAACCAGCAAGTGCAAGGAAAGGTCCCCCCTTTCATCGAGACAACGACAAGGTTAAAGAAAGATTTCCATCCGAAAGAAGTTTTTAGATTGTCTTCTATCGATCAACGAACTACGTTGTCAGACAGTATGTGTTGCGTCTAGTCCCACCTCATAAAAATTTTGTACGGAATTTCAGATGGATACAGAGCATTGCTGCACACACCTGCGAGCTCGTCTTTCGTCCCTCTTGGCTTGTTGTGCAACTAAGTTTGAAAAATTGATGTTCAACTTCTTCAAACAAAAGCTGAGAAGATGATATGTGAGAGGAGAGATTTCCAAACAAAGTCAAAGTAAAAATGAAAGTAGAACAAAGCGTACGTGATGAGAGTGCCAGAGAGAAGTCCAAAACCAAGAGTGGCCACAAGAGATGAGGGAACGGCGGCACGCAAAATTTTTGAAAAATGGTGAGACGGAGAGCAGAGGGAATTCAGTATCACAAAAGAAAATACGAATTTTTCTCAAAGTTGCCCGTTGGAAAAAAACGCACCTGCTCTATTGCAAACCAGGATTTCCTGTCAAAATTGAAATTGTATTGTTGAATGCATGGAAATGATAAACTACACGAATTCAGCTCATTTTCACGGTCGTAGACAATCGAGATGGTACTAGCTTTCCTTCGAGTAGCATGGCGGTGTTCATCGTCAAGGATTGAAGGCTGAAACTAGAAGTACAAGAATCAAGATGGTCGCCACTTGGTCTGCGTATTTCGATCGGGTGGCGCCCAAGGCCGCCGGTCTTGCGGCCGGGTACCCCACCGTGCTTGCCGCCGTCCTGGGTTTCGCCGTTGCGGGCTTGATTTTGCGGCAGAAGGCGTCGATCTTCCGGAAAATCGAGAAGGTCATTCTGTTTCCAGTGAATTTCACCGTGCGGGTGGTCGTTGAGCTGATTCTCTTCGTCAATAGCTGCTTTGAAAATTGCACGCTGCGCACCACCGTCGCGGTTGGGAACAAGCACTGGAAAAAAGTCACGGTCGCGGATCCCCACTACCCAGTACAGATCGAGTTCCGGCATTGTTCCACACCAGTACTTCTACCATGTACGGAGGAGAAGGATGTCGAAAAGGACAAGAAGTCGCCCTCCGCCATCGGGGGTGTCACACGAGAAGAAGCGCAGGGGCCACCTGCAACAGAGGGCTCTTGTTCCTCCGCTGCGCTCTCCATCGAGCACCTGTGGTCTTCCAGCGTGGCCCCCTGTACGCAGAAACTGCAACAGCAATCCACCCTCCTCTACGTCGAGCGTGAGCCAGCCTTCACCGGCAGCCGCCAGGGCACCCAGTCGTTGCACGTGCTGCAGAAAATCGTGCAAGGGTCGAGCTTATGCATTGCAAATATGTCTGGGTCTGGAAGGATGCAACCTGTGATGCTGTCTTTGGATTCTGAAAAAATCTGTATTGCGTGACCAACAAGAGGGGTCCATTTTGTGCTACGCGGAGAGGGAATTTCTCATGCGGAATATGCATCAGGAAGCCCTCCAAAAATCTGTGATGCTAGGTCACGCATTACGGGCATCATGCGACATAGAAGATATGCATGACAAACCTGGCTTTCTTCCAGACCCAGACATATTTGCATTTCATAGAGCTTGTGGGACCTGGCCTGTGATGTGCTGTACCGAACCATCGCGGGCGGGACTGGGTATCCTGTGCAAAAGTATCGTACTCGTATTGCGAGCATGCATTACAAATCTTTGTTGAAAGGTAAATCCGCATTACAAACTTTACTTCTCATGCTGAGGAAATTTGTAATGCATTTATACGAGTGCGATACTTTTGCAGTTCATACTGGGTACCAAGCGACAAAAGCGGCCGCGTTTTTCAAGTTCTTGAAAAACTACCGCACGATGGCGCCGCAGCTGGACTACTTGTTCGACCACAGCACGGATCTGTACGGAATCGGTTTGACGCACAAGGCGCCGGCGCTGTGCTACCGGTCGGATTTTTTGACGAGAACGGAGAAGAAGGTCGAGGAGGGGGCGCTGGAATTAGTGGCGGGGAAGAGTATAATTTGTTCTACATGTGGACTTTTTTAGTACGTGTTTTCTTTCACTAGCGATGATTCTGAATTGGAATAACAGTAGTTTGTTCCCTTTACTAGCTTTTTTTCATCATCGTAGCGCGGTCGCTCCTGTCAGCGTCGCATGAAGACACAAGAAGATTACGAACTCACATCCTGCTTCAAAACTAACCCCTCAGGACGCGGGCTCCCCGACTATGGCGAGGAGGTTGAGGCGGTGGAAACCCCGTTAGAGTTCTACCAGCTTTTGAAGCCGCACTTGAAGCAGGTGATTGCGCCGACGGACGTGCAATCGCTTTTCCGCATCATCCGCCTACATGCGGTTGACGTGAGCAACAGTTCGATGAACAAAAAGGTGAAAAACCGAATCCTGGGTTTGTTTGACATCATGGCGTTTCTGCCCCACAGCGACAAGGATCCCAACTGCTTCCTCTCCGTCCACAACGGGCAACTCGAGCTGTACAGCTACGACAAAAACGTCCCCGACTGGAGAAAAATAACAGTAAATCGCTTGAGTTTGGAGAACAGCATGCTGTGTGTGAAAAAACGGAACTTTGTGAAATCCGAGATGGGGGACTTGGAAACAGTGTCCCTGTGCGGTGGAAAGGGTGCGGGGGAAGCCGGAAGTCAAGCTGATAACAACAGCAGGAAGCAACAAGCGCTGGAGCAGAGCACGCAGCTGTTGAACAATTTGCGAGATCTGGAGCAGTCCTTGCAAGGAAGTGGACAAGGGAGTTCTGCTGGATCCTCCACTGCAAGCGGGTCATCTCCGGAAGAATCAACCGCAACAGACGAGGAAAATAAAATGGCGATCGCAGCTAGTTCCTCTTCAACATCTGGTACTGCTGGTTCCACGCAAAACACAATAGCAACCACAGTAGACCTCACTGAAGAAGAGCAAAACCGCTTTCTGTTCGCGTACCGCGACAACCAGATGTGGGATAGTTTCGAAGCGTTAGAAGAACAGTGGCGAGCGGATGTTTTCCCTTTGGTTTTGAAACGATTCCCGAAGGGCACCGAGCAACTCGGCGCACTGTACGAGTACGTCGCGGAGTTGATGCAGAGCTCGCCGGACTCGGTCAAACTCGCGAAGCAGTACGCGAAATTAGCGTTCGTCGAGCGGTTTCGCTTCTTCGGGCCAAACCACGTTTTCACGAAGCGCGCGGCGGCCCGGCAGAAGGAGGTGCTGAAGATGAAAAGTTTGAAAAAGTTGGTTAATATCGAAGATGAAGCAGTGCCATCAACATCTTCCGACCAGAAAGAAGTTCCGCAAGAGCTGCTGGAAAAGATGAACAAAAAGACGAAAACAACTCCACCAGTAGCACGGCAAACCGGCCCGAAGAAGAATTTCAGTTTGAAGAGCGTCGGGGGCAAGAAAGTGAAGACCGCGAGCGGGGAGGAGATTGAGCTGGAGTACGGAATCGAAGAGTACAATGAGATCGCGGAGGAAATGATCCGATTGCATGAAACAGAAACATCAAATTCATCTGCAAACACCACCGCACCCGCATCTTCCACCTCGGACGCAGAAGAGAATCCGGTCCCGGATAGCAAGACTTCTTCAAAAGCAGGATCTACTTCACGAGCAGGGGGTGCAAAGAACGCTGTGATATCGTCGAACACTTCGTCAAAAAAGACCACGATTTCCACACGAAACAACTACAAGCTGTCCCTCCAGGACAAGGAGAAAATCCGGCACACGAAGGAACACCTCGTCGGGAAGTTGCAAAACTTGAGCGATTTGGTTGCGACGCTGAACAACGAGAAGAAAAAGCTTTCCGCACTCACGGAAACCATGTCGCAGAGTTTGCAATCGCAGTCCAAATTCAACAGCAAAATGATCGGAGGTGGGGTCCCGCCACAGAACATCAATCCGATGAGCAAGCTGGAAATCAGTCCGGCCGGGGAATCCTCTGTTTCCACGCAGGCGTCGCCGCCCCCGGGGAATTTGGATGTCGGAAGCGGCGGTGGTCATCTGGGAAAAATAAAGCCGCAACCGCGACCGGCAGCGCTGGTGGAGTTGGACTGAGGATTTGCGGGTTGGTGTGGATTGGTGGATATTTTGCGCCACAATTTCTATTACTATTTTGCAACTGCTGTTTTCGAAGATCGGGATATTCGTATGTTTACGACAGTGCTACCTACTTTTTTTCAATTTCAAGAAGCGCCAGCAATCTTCCATCCTTAGAATTCATATTCGAAGCTGAATTAGTACTGGAATCAGGTGCAGCCCGATTGCAATATCAATAAGACACCTGGCGTACAGCATGGGAAAACAAAAACTTTGTCAGTAGCAGTACAAGAAACAAGAGCACTCGTTTTTACATGACGTTCCTCCGTGATACGAACGCGCCTCAGGAAGGCAAACTCAACTGAGTGCCAACGTCTGCTGCTCGCGTGTTCGTCCGGTCTTGGCGGGGGTACGAATAAGTTTGCAAAGCGCGGTGGTGGAGAGCGACACTTGCTGTCAAGTTTATTTCCGAACATAAGAGTACACTGGCGCGACCTGCTCACACCTTGATTGTATACGCGAACTGCTCAACAATTTACTTCGCGGATGGCGGCGATGTAGTTGGGGTCTTCAATATCACCATTGCAAAAAAAAACGCAACGTCTTCCCTTCCTTGACGAGAAAAAGAAACATTAAAATTTAATTTGTTTCGAAGTAAATTACTAGACTCTGGCAGCGGGCATTGGAATTGGTAGCCATCAATGAACAACAACGAAGCTCTAGCTCTTCGACAGACTTCCTCTCAAGTAGAGCAAACCCTTATTCTATGCTCCTCTACCATCTGGTGAACCTGATTTTTGCGCAGCTTTTCTTCACTTTTTACCTCGCCCGCGTGCGGAACTTCCTGCACGGGATTGAGGCGTACAACGATTACGAGCTCGACGAAGCGGGGCTGATTGTGCGAGAACTAGCGGCCTCTGAACAACTTTTTCGGGCGAAATTTCGGCGGCTGAAACAGCAGGCAAATTTGGATATTGTTCAGACAGCTACCGGAGTGTTATCGGGCGGGGGAGCTCCACGACGTCCTGGGTGTGCTAGAGGTGGAACCGCAGAATTCCTTGCGACCAGTGCGTTATTTACGAAAACGGAAAAAACGCCACACAACTTCGTAGCTCCGCGAAGTTCTACTCACGCACGGAGACGCACAAGCTTCACATCGGCAACATCTTCTGTGTGCGGAACAACGAAGCTTCCTTCAGCTCTGGCGGAAAAATGGCGCGAGTGGCAGGAGCAGCGAACTCCTCTGGCGGAAGCCATTCCACCGGCGCAACCTTCGTCGGAACAGGCATAGGCTATTTGCCGGCGTCGCAAACAGCAACGTCTTCGTCGTCATCGTCGACTTCCCCGATAAGCGGAGGTTCTCGTGGTGGAGCATTTCCTGCTTCTTTTTCCACCACATCTGCAGGGTCACCGGCCGCTACCTTCCCTTCACCGTCCTGGAGTAGTCTAGTCGCAGGAGGAGCATCAACTACAAGCGGAACAATGAGCAAGCAGAGTCTAGTATCTGCCTCCGCTCGAGCGTCGTCCGTGCTAGGTGGAGGACCAGGCGGCTCAGCATCATCTTCCGCGGCTCTTAGCAAAATGCAGCTTCTGGCCTCGAGTTCTACTTCGGCATCTTCGTCTTCTTCATCAGGAGCAGGAGGTGCTGGTGCTGGTGGCCCACTGGAAACTTTATATGAGGAGGAAGACGGGGGGCGAGATTTGAGCTGGGAATTTCCGCTAACCGCGGTGGAGACAAGGGCGCGCCTGTTTGATGTCATTGAATTCGAAAATGGCACCTATCGGGAGGAGCTGCAGGTACTGGAAGTAGAACTTGTTATTTTACACCGATAAAGTGACGAGCGCTCCGTGGTCCGTGGTGCGCAGGAGCAAATACAAATTTGATATCATTTCTTATTATGAAACTTCAGATGAACGAGGAGCTGATCCGGGGCTTGCTGAGAGGTCCACCTCTAGAGGTCGACCTCTACAGGTCTTGTCCCAAAACCGCCTACAGATTGCGACCCAAAAGTCATTTCTTTCTGCTCATACAAGAACACTACGTGGTTTGTCTGCTTTGCAAGCAGGCCTGTGTTGTTGTTCTTCTTGCACGCGCGACCGGCCTGCCGTCTCGAAGACGGAAGCAAAAAAGCGACCAATCTCGCGCGGGTTGGGAGGGGCACAGAAACAACCACCGGAATGCCTGTCGCGTTCAGGCGGTGAAGGCAGGTGGGGCGGCCGCCTACTTTCATAAATATTCTTTCATCAGCTTTGCATGTAAGTAGTAAAAAAAGGTAGAGGATCTGGACCAAGTAAGCGCGCTGCTGCAGGGGTGCCTGCTACTGGGAAGCAAAAGGCGTGGCGGAGCCCTGCTACTACAGCGGTGCGCGCGATTTACAAATAGCGCCAGCAGGTGCGCAGCGGTTCACAGGGTTGCAGCTGTGTTGTATGTACCAAGCGACCACCGTGACCCCTACCTCCACAAACCGCAGCTACAGGTAGCCGAAACGTATGTACCCCGAAGAGCGGCACCCTGGCCCTAGCTGCGCGGGGGTGGATGCAATGATGTGAAAACAGAGAGGGCGGTCGCACCTGCTGCGGATTTCTAGTCCCCAGCCGATAGGGGGCGCGCCTGTCACCGAATGCAACGAGAACAACCTGGAGGGCGCGCGCTTATTTTCTGCCTCGATTGCTGGGCCCTGCCCCTGCTTCTCGTTCTGGCACTACAGGCGCCGCCCGGGCCAAGCGTTCTAAGTTTTGGGCTGCTGCTGGCGGTTTGCGCCAGCGAGTTTTCTTTTGGGTTTTTCTTCTCTTTGTCTTTTGTTCGTGCTTTTGCGAGCATCGGATACCTGAAGTACTTACACACTTTGCTGCATTGCCTTTTGCTGCTTGGCAGGACAACTGAAGTTTTTTTCGTGCGTCGGCTGCCCTTCCCGCCAAAACCCCTCGCCAAGAAGGCGCCTTCCCTTCGGCCAAGCTTCTTTATCTAGCCGCTCCCAGGAGATCTAGTTGCTGCAGTGCTATTGTTCTATTGTTATGTGCAGATCCCCGCGCCGCTGTGTCTGCACTGCGGCGCGAGCCCCAAATATGATTTCTTATTATGAAACTTCAGATGAACGAGGAGCTGATCCGGGGGTTGCTGGATGCACCGCTCGTGCTACATGCGGCAGGCACAGGCTGCTCCGCCCGAGGCCGCCCGCCGGCCCTTTCTGAACATGCGGCGTGGCCCCGATCACAGGCTTGTGGGCAAATGCTTCGCGCATGGGCTCGCCCTCGAGAACAATGCGCGGCCCACACAGATTTTCTGTCCCCAACACCCCCAGGCCCGAACCTGTTTACTGGGCAGAAAGAATCGCGGGAAGCGCGCTGCTGTGGCCTTTGGCTGTCTGAACCAACGCGGCCTGGCGTGCCTGCAGCGAGCCCTCCCCCCGCAACCTGGGAAGCAACGCAGGCCGGCTACGTGCACAGATTGCGCTCGTTCGCCCGCTGGCGCTGCCCGTGGTTGTGGCCACTCCAAGCGCGCGCCCGAGGATGCATGGCGCGCAATCTTTCCCGGCGCCCTGATTCGAGACGCTTGGCAGAGTAGGACGGCGCGCGCATTTCCTTGGCAGGGGCTGCGGTCAGTGGGCCTTTCTTGGAACGGTGGAGGGTCTGGCACTGGCACGGGTTCAGAATATGACTGCCCCGCTCGCAAGCGCAAAGCCCTGCAGGGTCTGTGCGTCCGCGGCTGGAACCGCACGTAGCCGGAGGGCTGGCCCTGACTCTAGGTCTGGGCCTCGCGGTTGGGCGGGGGTGTTGCGCGCAATGAATGTGTTTCGTCGGGCGCGAGCTTTGGCTTTTGCCGAAGGAATCGCCGGCCCGCCTTTGGCCGGAGGCCAAATGGTTTGCCTAGGACGGCAGCCGCGGGCACTTGCAGTGCTTTTTAAGGGTCAGCAGCAAGAGCGAGAGCGGCGCGGCCCCCGCCGGCCCGGCCCGTAATAACGCAGGCGCCGGGGCCAGCGTATTTCCCCCGCGCTTTTGCATGTGAATGGAAGGGCAGAGGCGGCCGGCTCTCTCGTTTGGGTCTTGTGCCTGACAAGCTGCGGCGTGTGCTCGGTTGTCAAAAAGGGGCGACTTTCGTGCTACTAATTTCATTCCATTGCCATTCCCGAACCTGCGCTGCGTCACGTTTGGTGTTGCAGAGCCATTATCCAGATGGGCGCCGTGCGCGCCCCGACCCTTCAGAACCCTAGTCCCCTTGCGCGCTCTGGTTCTCTAGTTATGTGGAATATTTCGCGCCGTTGTGCGCCCTCCACGGCGGCGCGAGCCCCAAATATGATTTCTTATTATGAAACTTCAGATGAATGAGGAGCTGATCCGGGGGTTGCTGGAGGAGAACAAGAAACTGACAGAGGATTTGCGAGCCCTGGAGGACGACGCCTTGGAGCAGTTGCAGCATAGCAAAAAGGAGCAAGAGGCGGATGTGGTACCGTGCTTGAAGATGCCGCAGTTCTTCTTTTTGGTGTTGATTTGCATTGTTTTTGGTAGATCAATTTATTACCTCGTCCAGGCAGCACACACTAATTGACCAGATTGTTCCCTGCTTTCAATACAAATTCTAATTGATGAAATTTCAATTTACGAAAAAACTTCCAGGAGCAGCTCCGCGCCCAGACCATCGCGCTGGAGAAAACTTTGTCCACCGAGAGATCCTTGAAGGAATCGCTGCAGCAAACCACTGCGATGCAGCAGCAGAAGCAGCAGAGGGATCTCGAGCAGAAAGAGCAGGAGGTGCTGAAGTGGAAACAGAAGTTGGAGCAACACGAAGAGATTTTGAAGCAGACGAAGGAAAAAGTGGAAGCGAAGAACCACAAGGCGGAAACCGAGCAGGTCCGGCGAACGGAATTGGAACGGAAGCTGCAGGACCGGGCGAAATCTATGACGTGCAAAAGTACCGTTAGTAGTAATTGCAATACAAATTCACGCAGCATGACAAATGGAATCTGTCATGCTGTTTTACCTTGGGATGGAGATTTGTAATGCATGGCTGCAATTACTATCAGTGCGGTAGCGGTACTTTTGCAGTAGATAAAATCCGAAACCGTGCAAAAGAACACACTGCGGGACTTGGAGCAGCGTTCGGGCGAGCAGAAGAAGACGATCAAGAATTTAAGAACGATGTTGGAGGAGAAGGAGAAGGAGAATGTGAAGCTGAAAAACGACTTGAAAAAAGTGGAGATGAAAAGCTTGCAATTAGTGCACCAGCACCAGCAGCAGCCGAAGAGTTCTTTATTGCTGTCTTCAAAGAGCCTCTCAGGCAGTGCGTCGATGTCCGCTTTACCGAGAGCAGAAGACGTCGGGATCTTAGGTGGAACAACGGGGGGATTTGTGGCAGCTGCGCACCAAGACCCGGACGCAAGCTCCTCCATCCCGAGTGAGGCGCAAACGCCCCGTGCGGTTGTTATAGCCGGCGTAACAAGTAGTAGCACTACGACCAGCAAGCAAAGCAAGAATGCCAGGCGGAACGCCAGAAGACGCAACAGCATCAGCGCGTTGGATCACGACCAGGATTTCGGGCTGGACCGACGACAGACGACTGCAGGTGTAGCAGAGCCACAAGGCGACGGTCGTTTGCAATTTCAAACAACCAGGTTGCAACTGGATGCGGACCACGCTGGGGAGCAAGAACTACACCAACAGGCTTCCCACAGCCCAGCAGCCTCCAGCACACGGACTCCGGCAGCTTCAGCGACTAGTCGGATGACCTGCAAATTCAAGCTCTCTACTGCATCCGTCGGTGGTGCGCAGGGGGCTATTTCCCCGTTGAACAAGCCACTTGGCGCTGCTGGTGTAAAAGTCGAACAAGACGACGCAACTCCGAGCACGGTGGCGCCATCATCCACCCTCGCGTCACCGAGTCTGTCGTGTGGAACAATCACCACAAACACGGCAAAACTTACCGGCAAAGCCGCAAAGCAGGTCTTGAAGAAGGGACGACAGAAAGGCAATAATAAAGCAGCCGCACTGATGAAAAGGAATGAAGCTCCTGTCGTGCTGCTGGGCAAGAAACCTGCGGGTATATCTCTTTCTAAGTACTACCGACCTCTTCGTGCGTTTGTGATGATCCATGATGATCTCAACATCTGCTGTCAACAAAAATATATCGTTTCACTATTTCAGGCTCATCGACGGATACCGCAGCTCACGAGGTCATTACTGGGCTGCAAGCGTCGCTCAAACGGGAAAAGTCCCTGAAATCCCTCGTGCTGGTGGTCGGTACGGTCCTGATCCTGGGCTGCGCGATCCTGAATAGCTCGTTGCTCAAATGATTTTTTGATGTTGAAGATGTCCTGAACGCCAACTCGTCGCGGGAGGCCGACAACTTCTTTGAATGAATTAAATTTTTTGAATGAAAACGAAATTGTTGAGAAGATGAGAGTGGTTGTGTTGCCGCTTCGTCTCTGAAGACTGCGGGTATGGGAGGAATTCTTGCTTTGGATATTAGCACGCATCGTCCTCTCAACTCACGACCACGTGTCGCAGTCGCTACATCGACCTGTGAGTGTTGAAATGAATTCTTGCTTATCTTGTTTTTTGTCACGGTTGCGACCACCGCTTTCTTCCATTACTTGTACAGATTGGCCGCGAAATCCTCTGTCACCCTCCAGAGACGACCGGAAAATAGAACAGCTTCTAGAATGCCAAATGCGAATAAGTCCGAGAATGCATGTATCATCAGGTAACCGTAAGTAGAGGAGGAGGTATCCTATCGCTTCTCGTATCAACAAGTTAGCAGCTACGATAACTACTTGCTGTGACACAAATTCGTTGTTCGACACTACGAACTAGAGCTTGTGTGCAATCGCGTCTGAGAGTTGCCCCGACTGATGTATGTAACATTGTGTTAGCCAACTACGTGTGCGTTTTTAGATCGTCTCGCGCGAGCTGCTGTCCGACCGAGCTGGAGCAAGAGGAGTCGCTTGGTATACACGACTGAGTTTCTTGGTGCTTTTAGTTCCAACCTCGATTGAACCAATGCGTTTGATGCCGTCCAGGACCTTTTGTAAAATTATGCTTTCTTCCTGTCACTACACTACCCGTACCCTGCTGTCCCTAACATCCCTATTAACCCATGAACATCCTTAAGAACTCCGAGAAACTGGAAATGCAGAAAGTGGTAGGCTTTCTGTGCAAGGTGTTGTAGCTGGCCCGTCGATTTTTGCCCATATCATACCATCTGCCTCATTAGAGAACAGCAACAGCCCCCCGCGTCGAGACACTTATCGCCGTCATTTTTCCTCTGCGCAGTACCAAAGGAGCCCAAGTCCAAGACATAACTGCCCCGGAAATACTGAGTTAAGATGTCGTACCCCTGGGTCGATGTTCCGATTGTGGACTTGGCGCCTTTCGTCCAGGATGATCCGAGCAAGTCCAACGAAGAGGCTACCCCGGATCAGCCATATTGGATGTCCTCCACCCCGACCGGCTTCGACGCCGCGGCACACACCACCCCTTCTGGCGCCTACGATTTCTACGCTTCCACCGCGTCGTACCTCTCCAGTTCCTCCAGCAGCTACCTGAGTTTTTCGCCGAAAAAGGACCCGAAAAAGCAAGCCGTGTCCCGCGAAATTGCCGCGGCCAGCTCCAAGTACGGCAGTTTCTGGGTGGACGTATCGGCGTTTACCGAAGTGTGGAAGCAGCACGCACTGGCAGTGGCAGAAGCCGCGAAGAGTACTACCGACAGCAAGATGAAAACGAGGAGCAGTCCGAGCGTAGCTCTTGCAGAGCCTGTAATTGCTGGTGGTGGAACTTATGCAAAAGAGAAGACACGACGAGAACCAGAACTCGCTAGTACCGGCCAGCAGCGGGGAACCACGTCAAGTGGGACGAAGAACTTTTCTCCTCTCTCACGTGGAAGCAGCGTGATGTCCGCGTCTAGGGGAACGCGGCACTTTTCCTTTGACGGCCGCGACAGTATTCCCAACGAGGAACCCACACCCGACGTGTCGCCGGCCATGCCAAGCGCCACTGCGGTTGGAGCAGGAGGTGCTGTTACAGCGGCATCTTTTCCGCCAGCTGCTGCTGTTTTACCGACCACTTCATCATCGCCGCAGAAGAACACGACCGCAGCCACCACTTCCCCAATAAGTGCCGCAGCAACGCTATCCACAGACCCCTATTCTTTCTCTTTTCCCATACCCGCTAGCACGTTCTCCAGCGATTACTTCGCGACCGACCCCTTCGCGAGCGTGTTCGGAGACAGCACGGTGCCCCCGACCCCGGAGATTTTGGAGACGCCGGCACAGTCACCGGAGAAGGCCACGACAGGGGTAAGGACTGGAACTACGGATAGTACGTATTACTACACGACGGCGACCAGTGCCAGGAGCGAGGACGCAGCGGCAACATCTTCTACTGCTTTATTCACGACGAGTGGATCTTCGGCTTCGTCTGCTTCGACCACGACCAAGCAAGACAAGCAAAAAAGCGTAGCGTTGGGCAAGTCCACCATGGCGTTGAAATCTGCGACACCAGCTGACATTTCAGTTACGACTTCGAGTAACCATGTTGATCGCCACGATAATTCCCCCCCTCCGGAACAAGGCTACCATCGCGACACGGTCCTCCAGGGTGTGAAGAATTTGTTCGAGACGGTTTCCCAGAAGGATAAGGAACTCAATGCCGCGTGGCACCAGCCGCAGCGGGGCTACATCCCCTTCGGCGCGGAGTCCGGATCCGCGGCGTTTTTCGAAAACAAGGAGGGCTTTGCCTATGGGTTCTCCGGCTGGAGCGATTTTTCTACTTCATCTGGTACCTCACAACTACCAACGGACAAGCAGATAAGCTCCGCTGCGTTAAACGACAAGAATTTGCCGCAAAACGACATGGAGGGCTACAACGTGTGGGCGAAATCCCTCGACGGTGGAACGAAAAACTTACTCGAAAAACAGCTCTTCTCCCTCTTCGTCGCCGTTGGGGAGGCGCTCGTCCGCGCGTACAGTTTGCATTTGTACGAGGACGAAGCGTTACTCGCCGACAAGTGGAAGGGCGGCGAGACGATCTCCCTCGCGCGCGTGTTTCGGTATTTCGAAACCCCGAATGGTGAGGAGATTCGGAAAAGGTCGAAATCCAGTATCGCGCACCAAAGCATGACGAGCCCGAGTCGGAAAATCGTGAGGAATAGTGGATCTTTTAGAAACAGCCCGGCCAACAGCAGTTTTGACAGCAACTCGCCGAACGCAATGGACCGGCTGTCCGCCACCCAGCTACGGCAGCTGAACGACGAGTCGCAGCTGAAGTCGCTCGGGTCCAGCCCGCACACGGACTGGGGGCTCCTCACGTTGATCACCGCGGATGATGTTCCGGGGTTGCAATTGTGCCTAGACGGCGTGTACCACACGGTGAAGCCGCGGTTTGACCAGAATCTGCTGTTCGTCAACTGTGGCGACTTCATGTCCTTGCTCTCCTGTGGAAAATTTCTCTCCCCCATACACCGGGTTCTGTCGCCCGGGAGCTTCGAAGTTGACGGTGGCCATGTTGGTTCTCCAGCGATGTCCTCGCGGCAGAGCGGGAGCCCGAAGTCGCAAATAGACAATTTCTACAGCAAGCGGAGAAGCAAGGAAGTCCGGGACGTCGACGATGCCGTGGCGGCTGCAACTTCTTCCGCACCAGCGTCGCCAAGTGCAGCAGACGCGTTGAGGGGTCCGGCGGGCGGGGGCGACAAGAATAAAGACGGGAGTCAAGAAAGTGCCTTGTTTCCCGCCGAGTCAAGTGCCGCTGGTGGAGACCACTGCAGCGCAGCCTCTTCGTCACGAAGGCCTTCGGAGACGGAAACAGACACGTCCAAATCGGTGAATCCGGACATGTTGTTGAGTGCCGCGGTAGGCGCAATGGAGCAGCTGCACCAGCAGACAGAGCAGAGTGCAAACACGGATCCGGAGGAGAGCGGTACTAGCGCGAGTAGTGCCACAGCCACTGATAAGAACAAGAAGACAACAAGTGCTTCTGTAGCTGACGGCAACAAGGAGCAAGACAGCGACACAGTCATCAAGCAACAAGTGGACGATGACGAACCAGGAGTACAACAACAATCTGGGTCAACATCGGCACTTGCTGTATCCTTACCAGTCGACGCCAGAACATCAAACGCCTGTTCGCCGCCGTCTAGCAGCACTCGGACGCCGGACCTGCAGCCGGAGGAAGCTGAAACAGCAGCTCATGACGAGAAGAATAGTGCTATCACCCTCGTCGTTCAGACCAATGCAGCATCGCAAATTGACGTAACGTCCGGCGAGGAGGAACAAGGAGACGCAATAAAGTCAAAAGACGGGGGCAATGGCTCTGCTACAGAGCCGGATCAGGAACAACCGCCACAGGATCCACCTCAAACTGGAGCTACTGCATTGGATAAAGTAAACTCATCCCCGAGGAGCCCGTCGAGGACCATGTCGGGTTCCCTTGCCGTCCCTGGGGGCGATTCCAGCGACGTTGCCGGGGAGCCAGAGGACCAGCGGGCGCCAAGGGATTTCTTCTTGGACAAGACCAAATTTGACGCACGAGGATCACCTGGTGGTGATGCTGAAAAGCAAGCCGACGTTGTCAAGAGCACACGACCAGCGCGGGGCAACGGTAAAGAGGAAGAACAACAATTTGAAACCGCATTTGAAAATCCTGAGAGCACACAAACCCAACCAGCAACAGAACCGCCGGGCTCGCCATTCTACGCACCCACGCCCTTTCAAGAAAACGCCCGGTCGCTGGAAACGATGGCGCCGGCTTTGCCGCAAGTTTTAGAGGACGCCGGGTTCTTGAAGATAGCAGGAGGGAATATTAGAACGGACAAATCCAGAAGTACCGACGTCGTGGCAGCACCAGATCGTCATGACCTGCTGACCGCTGGAGGTGCACCAGAGAAGAACGAGAAGAAGACTTCTGATGTTTCCGCGGAGACGAAGAAGAAGCTGCAGGATTTGTTCCAGCAGGAGCAGCGGCAGGAACAAGTGTCAATGACCAATGCGCGAACGAATTCAACAAATTCTGTGAACAACCGTTACTCCGTCGTTTTCTTTTACTACCCGAACTACGATGCCAAAATTCCGCCGCCGCCAAAGTCCCAAGGGCGACAGGTCTACTCGGTGTTCACGGACCAGAGTGGGCGCGGGGAGCAGTATCAGAACCTGGTCGCGAGTATTGGCAGCTTTGCAGAAATTCACAACTTGTCCTTCGGCAGCTGGATCAAGAAAAAGTGGGAGTCGGTTAGTCGGAAGAAGTAGAATTCGCCTCGTCTGGTCGAGTTGGAGCAACCTAGCGTGGGAGAAATACATGGAGGCAGAAATATCCGATCCTCCCACCTCACCCTCACGCAAGAATTATTTCGACCGTATTTGGCTTACGATGGCCACGTACCATTGCTTTTCATGTTGTGTAAAAAAGACGAACCACTACAACGAACAGACACACCTCTGTGTGTGCCGCTCTCTTGCTTTCATTTAGCTTTTTTGTGACGCAATGCAAAGGCCGCAAATTATACCTCATCCGATGCGGCAAAGCATCAAAGGAAATTCTGACCTTCTACTGCATGTTCAACGTACTTTTTCGCGCGTCGGTCTTCTGCTCGTTCAACCCGAATGCTAATGCGGAAAAAATCACTCGTCCGGTGTTAGTGCTACACATTCACATTGATTTTTCGGTTCTCGTACGACAAAGAAGCTCTTCGGCTTGTGACTACATGCGACTTTTGCTATCGGTTGAGAACAAGCTCGTATTCATCTCCAGTCACTCGGTCGTAAGTGCCGCGCTAGCGCCTATTTGCCTGTCGTTCAATTTCGTTCAAATCTGCTTCTGGCGAAAGCCATTTCAACATCCTTCTCGGTCCCGTCCAAAAGCAACGCAAATGTCTTGTCGTACGCAAGAAGTGATGAACAGACCGCACGGCTGCACACCGCGGCAATAATAATTAGCGCAAAGGTAATTGAAGTACAGTGTCTTCGTCTTTCAAAACATCTCAGGTCGATCGTGCAGACGGAACCCGTTTGTTCGTCGTTTTCATCTTCACACCAGTGGTTTACACCGTACCAACAGCTTCACAACTTTTGAATCGCATCCAACTTCAGTTTGAAAAAGAACTCGCGAGTAACTCAGCAGAAGAAAAATCTTCAGCCTCACTTAAACGTAAAACTTGTCTCTCGAAGAAACTGACACCGAAAACAAGACCATGAGCAAGCCACGAACGCCCGTCCGTCGGGTGCCGGACACCCCGGACGAGGACCATGACTCGCTTCCGCACGACTTGCCGTCTTCCCGCCTGCGGTTGATGTACCAAAACTTGCCGGATTTGATCAACACGGTCGAAGAACTGCAGCGCGAGAACATGCGCATCCGCTTCAAAGCCGTCGGTCAGCTGGACAACCTGTGCAAGTCCTGGTTTATCTCCGCCGACAACCACACCCTGAAAACCGTGTTCGAGGGGTGGAAGGACATGTGGCACAAGCGGCTGGAGTTGAAAGCGGTCGAGGAGGCCATCACGCACACGGAGCGCATGGCCGTGGAGAAGGAGAACGCGAGCCTGGAGGACCAGCAGACCTACCACGACCGGATTCTGGAGGAGTACATGAACTCCCACAAGGCGGAAATCGCCGCCATGATGGACGCGCACAAGAACGACAAGGAGGGCTTTGCCGCCGAACTGGAGGAGAAGCTGAGGAAGGAGCACAAGGAATTTATGCAATACAAAGTTTCCGTACACCGCACAAAATGCATCACAAGTTTTGCCAACTGAGAGCACTATGCCACTTGTCATGCGGAGTAGGCTTGTAGAATTGGTCTGTCATGCTCATGGAGAAACTGCATTGGATGTGCTGTGCGTCGTGTACGGGAAGTTTCCTTTTGATAGAACTGTTGAAGATGCACTTTGACAGCCACGTGGAGACGCTCGCGTTCGAGAAGCGACAGCACGAGCAGGAACTCGCGCAGGCCAAGCGAATGCACGACTCGGGCGAGGATGAGATGATCGCCCGGCACAAGCAGAAGGAGAAAATCCTGACGAACCTGAAGAACGAAGTCAACATGGTGAACAAGAAGCTCGGACGGGTGATGGGCAAAGTCGAGTCGATGGAAGCCAGTTTGGCCAGTGTGCAGCAGGCGGTCCACGGCTTCGACCACGACGTGCCGGCCGGCGGAAAGTCCGTGGCGGCCCAGCTCGGCGTGGAGGACTTGCTGCCGCCTGGTGCTGGGATGGGCGGTGAGGGCGATGACGAGAAGGAGTACATCACGGAGGCACTGCACGAGATTTTGGGGCAAGTGGATCCCAAATACATGAGCCGATCGAAAATCGCGGGAACGAAGTAAGGAAGCCAGGTTGAGACGACTAAATCGGAGGTGGTACCGACGTACTGGAACTTTTTTTTTTCTAGTATCCAAGTAGTAGTTTCTTGTTCACATTTGATTACACACAGATTATACACACCAAATGGCTCTCATGATTTCTTTTCCCGCTGGGAGCTCTCTGAATTTTGTTTTTTAGGTTTGATCATACGCATACGCAGGTAGGATTTTTCAGTACCTACTTCCCATTTTTTTACATTACATTCGTTGGCATTCACAATCTCTGTTTTTCAGTTTACATGACAAGGTTACACAGTCCTTTGAAAATTAGCGCATTATTCCTGCAGTCCCCCATTTATTGTCTGTCGAAGCTGCGAGCACGCACTCTGCCTTTTGTAAACACACAAGTGGTGGTTTTTGTTTCAGCTCAGACGTAGTCGGAAGTTGATGTTTCTGGGCAGAGCCGAGCCGTCGCCGTGTCGAATCAAAGGCGAATGAAGGACATTTTTTTACTGCTTCGCACTTTAAGTAAGTACTCAGCTCTACTCGTCCCAAACGAGTGGCGTTTTTTCCCCCTTTTTCGCAATTTTGAAAGATAAAAAAGATTTAGATTCAACGGAAGCAGCCAGCAGCAGATTTTACGAGACGACAGCTTAAGATTCACTTGCCCTGTGGTTTTTGCATGAATCTAAAGGCTGAAGAGAAAATGAAATGCGACGACTGCTTTCATCGCACGGAAATTATGCCATTTCTCGTCGCATGGCATGACTAGTCAAATTCTGGCCTAAGTAAATTCTAAATTCTTTTGCGATCTCGACCCCTGAAAAATAAACAGCTCTGTACAGGTGCGACCTTGATGTCGAACCAAAACGCCTCTGCGCCACGTGTCGTCAAAGTATGCGTTCTCCGTGAAGAAATTTGAAATTGATATCGTGAGAATGCCTATGTGTACTACGGATAACACAAAACTGATCTAGTGACTTCAACTCGGTTTCTTCATCTTCTTGCTGTGCTTACGCGTCGGTAAATGCCGTTCTGAAATGAAAATCCAACCGATCGTGTAAGTCAAATAGAAATGTACCATTTCGCTGAGCTCCCAATAGTCTGACGTGCCCGCGAATCTGCATGTGACAATGCTACCAAGAAGGATCTCCAAAATGAAAATGTGCAATTCGCGAACAAGAAGAATGCGATCAAGATCCTTGCGCAAAATTCTAGAGCTCCGCACCAACGCATCTCGAGGCACATCATCGGATGATTGCAATGTTCCCCCGAAATGTTGTTCTAAATCGCTGAAGTAAAAGCCTTTACACCGCACCGGGATCTAAAATGCTGAAATGAAACCCGGATTTTAGCTCGAGATCACGTGCCCATGCCACAATGAAAGCAGATCGGTCGAAAATGGATCCGTTCTAAATATTTGTCCAACACCATCAATCACAATCTAACTTTAGTTGGACCACTGCCACCTCCACCACACAACACGAATTAACATTCACTTCTCCCCCACCAAACCTCCAGGGACCACGAGTATTTTAAGGTTAGAAAACCTTTTTAGTTTCCACAACTAAAGCCTCCCACAACACAGACAAGATGCCGAAGTCCTACCGCAACTCCAACTCGAACTTCCGTAAGCCGAAGCGCCCGTTCGAGAAGGAACGCCTGGAATCCGAGATGAAGATCGTCGGTCAGTACGGTCTCAAGAACAAGCGTGAGGTAAGAAGAGGAGAGATTTTTGTTCAGTTTTTTCTTTTTGGTTGTGCCCATGGTAGAGACTTCGACTTGCACTCATGGTCGCACTTCTTTGTGTACAGTTCCATCTGGTCATCGGTCACGTACTCGAATTAGATTTAGAGTGATCCATTGGTTCTAGCAGATCGTTCTCACGTTACAGTCTAGGTCTACCTTCGACGTGTCTCACGTGAAGAACAAATGCCTCCTTTCAATGAATCCCACTCATGAAACGTCAAATCCAAAATCCTAAACTCCCAACAGGTGTGGCGTGTGCAGTACGCTTTGACCAAGATCCGCTCGGCCGCCCGTGCCCTGCTGACCTTGGAAGAGAAGGACGAGCGCCGTATTTTCGAGGGTGAAGCCCTCCTGCGTCGCATGGCCCGCCTGGGTTTGTTGAATGAGTCCGAGCGCAAGTTGGATTACGTGCTGGGTTTGACCCTGTCCAAGTTCATGGAACGCCGCCTGCAGACCAAGGTCTTCAAGCTCCAGATTGCCCGCTCCATGCACCACGCCCGCGTCCTGATCCGTCAGCGCCACATCCGCGTCGGCAAGCAGATCTGCAACGTGCCGTCCTTCTTGGTCCGCGTCGACTCCGAGAAGCACATCGACTTCGCCATGACCTCTCCGTTCGGTCAGGGCCGCCCGGGTCGTGTCAAGAGGAAGAACAAGACCGGTGGCAATGACGAGGACGAGGACTAAATGTATTAGTCTTGTTCCGGGTTGCGTTGTTCTCAAGGGCAAATGAAGATTAGGATTCATTCACACTCGTCGCAGTTGCGGGTACCACGGTTTCTCGCAAAAAACCACAGATTTCGATTGTACACAAAACGCGGAGAGTCATCAAGGTACAAATTTAGTCGAGTTTGGTTTCGTCGTAATAAAGAGGATTCTGTTGAGAGATAGAGGTCAATGATGCTGGCGGTGTAAGTGTATGTGTATGTGAGGGATATCCTGAAGCTCTTCCCAATTCCCAATTCAATATTGAACCTCAAAACAGGTCTTCGTATCCGAGGTTCTTGCTGACGCAGCGCAGGATGACCACCAGCGTGTGGAGGAAGAGATATTAAAAGTTTCTGTGTGACAGTTGTACATGTCTGTGATCGCAAACGAGTTTGATGAAAGAATCGGAAAGAACGAGTAAAACACTGACTGGCATCTTGTAAAAGGGAGAAGGTTTTCTAACGATAAAAACAAAGGTGGCGCAGAGCAAAGGCTCTTGAGCTGCAAAATACGCCTGTGAACAGGTGCAGTGAGTGTTCGCACGTGTCAACGTAGTTTGGTGGACCTTTAGTACTAATCGTAGCAGCCTTTCGGTACTTAGCTCGCATCATTCGGTCTGTCGCATGGTGCATCAACATCAAGTGAGTACTTCGTGGTCTATCCACATAATGGATATCTAAAAAATTCAAACTCGTCATGCAAGGTCGTTTTCGTAATTGTAGTCGTACCCATATCCTGCTCTGGCCCTTTAGTAGCAACATTGCTATGCCAAAGTCCTTGGCCATGTTTTGAGATCTCGGTCGTCACGGGCTGGACGCGTTTTGGATACTTGTCGTTGGTAGTCGAAAATCTGTTTTGATTTCCACTTTTCATCACACTCGCACCGGAAAGCAGTGCACCGCATTCCAACTCTGTCGATGCGTCAGGCAGTTTTTTTTTGTGAAGTTTGCTGGACCTGGAGGTGGGGGATGTCTTGATTGCCTCACTGAGCCCTGTACGTAAGGGTGACGATATTGAAGTCGATATCTTCGCTAATACGATACAAGACTTGGCTTGTACTAGGTCGAATAAATGTGGTGGATGTTGCGGCACAAAGCAGACGTCGATGTGCTGGTAGTGCTTGAGCAGAACATCAACACTGTCAGAGATGCAGCTTGCTGATCACGCAATGCCGTCTCCGCCCTCGTCGGGAGAGTGTGCGAGCATTTTGCAGCACAATCGAAGGCAAGCTGGTGCTTTTGTCCGTCGCAGTAGGCGAGACCGACGTTTGAGCGCGCTGACAAAATCGGTTGTGTTGGTTCTCACTGCGACAACGCAATGCCATGTCGCCTCTTCGCACGAGAAACGGGAGGATCGTCAGAGGAAGGAAGACGCTCCCGGAGAGGATCGGGACTTCGTAGTGAGTGCAGATGCTGATCTGGAAGAAGAATTCACCGACGAGGCGATGAATGTTGCAGCTGCTGGAGCAGAAGTAGACGATGATAGGGTTGATGATGAGCACCAGGAGCGACAAGGTGCGGATTCATTTGACGTAGAAACCAACCTGACGAAGTTAGATAGCTGTCTCGCGAGCAATAGTCGTGTCGTCACCGTTTTTCTGAAGATTCTGACGCACAATTTCAAATGGAAACAATAACAAACACAAAGTGCTTTGTTGCAGTTTTGATTCTGTGGTCGCGAAAAATCGAGATATACAACGTACAGGATCGTCGCCGGCGCCGTCCTTTCTCGATCTCCGCCCCCTGAATTTGAAGCGCTGGAAACCCAATCCACGGCGGTAGACCTGTGCCCTGTACACACCGCCGCAGGGAGCAGCGGCTGGTCAATATTGTACGCCAAATGGCAAACTCTGGGAGAAGAACGACGCCCTCGCGAGAGAATGCTGCGATTACAAAGACGGTACAAAGCCTCCTCTTGTGGTGTTACGCTCGGCTTGCGCAGGGGCTCCAACAATCATCATCTCGACTGCTACCGGCCACCTTAGAACTGCAATTTGAAATGAAAAATATGAATCTTCATGGAGCGACGACTATGAGAATGAATTAATCGCTTTTTGTAAGAGATGAGATGAACTACGAGAAGGATAAGCAGAAGAGTGTGGTACGATGAAGTGGAAGTGGAGTGGTACGATTCTGATCCTAAATATCACAGGTACATGGGGACGATGTGTGAACAATAAAAAAGTAACCAAGGGCAGTGAGAAGTGGGACGAGTGCAACGAGGCGTTCGGAGGCTTGGTCCCGGCGTTTTTCAAACCGGCGGCGTGGCGTTTCTGGGGGAAAAAGACAGAAGGTCCGACACCGAACGAAGCGGACACGCAGCAGTCATCCGCCCAGCGGCCGAACAAAGCGGACACGCAGCAGGCGCCCACTCCGACAAGAACGAAAAGGAAAAGAGCGAGGAAGCAGCGGTCATCCGCCCGGACGACACCGGAAAAAACGGACACGTAAAAGTTATCTGCGCGGACACCGGAAAAAACGGACACGCAGGAGAAGTAATCTGTGCGGACACCGGAGAAAATGGACGCGGCGCAGAAGTCATCCGCTCGGGCAACGGAAAAAACGGACGCGCAGCAGTAGTCATCTCGTCTCGGCGGACAACCATAAGCAAATGGCGGGACGCAGCGAAGCAAGTAATCCGCCATTCGCACTGCGTCCTCACCGTGACAGGTTCGTCCAGAGCCGTGATTCCGATTTGATGAATTTTGAAAGAAGATATAGGGATTATCCTGTTGTGGGCTTGTTTTTGTAGTTTGAATTCGGAGAAGATGAACATTGATTTAATTCTACAGAGCAGAGTTACGGGAAAAACGAATTTCCTGGGTTGCACACGCGGCCCGGGATAGGTCGGGAGAGGGATCCATCGATAGGATCAAGCTGGAAATCGCAGAAAAGACGCCATGGGGGAAGATGGTCGCAGAAGATCTCAACTTTTACAACGTGGAGCTAGATGATCTGACATTGCAAAAGCCGGTGGGGGCAGTGGTGCGTGAAATGTTGACAAGGCGCAGACCCTTCGCAACAGCAAAGCGCGCGCCACGAAGAAAGGGGCCAACGCCGGGAAAGAAGTCGCAAAAAACCCAAAAGGCACAGGAGGAACGCCGGCAGAGGCTAGAGCAGCAGCGAGCTGAGGCCGAGCAGGCTAGGCAGGAGATGGTAGAGATGTTGCACGGGAAAAAATGGAAAAGCTCAAGCAGCCGGCCAGGCGCATGGGAACTTGTCAGCGACCCGGAGGTGCTTTTTGAGGTCACCGAATTTTTCTTCTGCGAAAACTCCGGCAAGGAGGAGGCGCAAGTCGGGGGCGTCTGGTTCCAAAAAGAAAGTGATGGCACATACTATGTGCGCTGAAGGAAGCCTTACCCCCGAAGGGAAAAGCAACAAGGATAATAACACACGCACAGCCACGATTTTATCGACTTTTTGATCGGACAAGTTTTCCTAAACCGACTTATCGACTTGTTCCCTGCCCCTGTCTATCGAGCTTTGAGGTAAGAGGCCACCGCCACCGCACCCGTAACTAACTAACTAACTAAAGCGTAGAACTGAACTGAACTGAACTCTACAGAGCAGATGAACGCCAGGTCGAAGAACGAGAAACCTGAATTTACCATGCGTGTGATGCACACAGAACATAATTGACATTGTTTGTGGCCGAATTGTAAAACCCGCGTTATCTGAATGTCGGCGCTTTTGGAAGCCACTGGATCAGAATCACTCTAGCTTTTTTTGTACGTTTTCGTCTGTGTTGTATGCGCCTGACAACATGTGCCTCCATATATCGGTTCTGCTGTGTCGCGTTTGGTATTGAAGATATTGTCTGGTGCAAAACTACCAGTTCTCATGGTTGAGGTGATCTTCATGTTCTGAGGGCGCGTACCCGCACACGCATTCAGCGTATCGCCATGAGGTCAAAATTGAAACCAATCAGAAGAAGATCATCCTCGGTCAGCTTGGACATGAAAATAAAATCATTGGTCCAAGAAATTTGTGTTCACAGTAATTGAATAGAACATTCTGGCGCAATGGAAAAGATGGATCCGAATGTACCAGAAGATCTAGCTCATGGATCATCACATCACGTTGCCCGACGCGGATGTGGAAGCCCTCAAGCTGTCCGTGATAATCTGTGTCGTTCTTGCCAACATCCAGGTCCCACTACGCATTCATTCGAATCGTCGGCCTTTATGGAATACTTCAGATTTTGACACTTCCCCGCCCCACGTCGGTGCCTATTTTGAATGATAATTCTTGATCTCACATGGACACGGGCCTGGCGCCAGCACGATATTAAAATTCGTAGTTGTAAACTCGCGAATCTGAATTCGCTGTCATGTCTCCTGTCGAAATTGCAAACAAATGCCGTGCCCTCGGTTGTTCCTCGTCTCCAGTCGCGAAAAGGAGGAGATCAGAGCAGGTAGCCAGCGACGTGCGTGTCGTGACGCCTCTAGAAGAAGGCGCGAACATGCGCAACGAGCACGGACAGGCCAAAAAAGATGTCCTTGCAGTTGGGGAGCCAACTGACGGTGAGAACGGTAACGCCACCCCCGTTATCCTGCTGGAGCAGACGAAAAACAACAAAGCCTGGGCGGACGTGACCAAGAAGACAAACGCGACAACTCCGCCCCTCACAGTCGAGACTCTCCCCGAAGAAACACAAAACTACCGCTTCCTCCGACTCCTCCCCTACGAAACGGAATTTTCCACCTTTGCCAAGCGACGATGGCTCGACCGCGAGATCCTCGAGGTTTTCACGAAAGAGTTCACGAAATTTGACAAACAGCATTTCGAGGAACGGCTTCAATCTGGCGGCATTCTCGTGAAGTCGAAGGGAAAAACCGATACTCCAAGGCCGGTCGACGCGACCTACAGAATCAAAGATGGGGATTTCATCACACACAAGGTCGTGATGGAAGAGAATTTGATTTTGAACCAGCCGATTGAAATCGTCTCCGAAACGGAGGACTTGCTCGTCGTGAATAAACCCGCATCGGTTCCCGTGCACCCGGGCGGCAGCTACAAGCACTTCACGGTGACAGGGTTGTTGGCCGCGGGGAGGTTTACGGAGCAGGGAGGTGTTGGCAGCACACGAAACTCATCTAGTAGAGTTACATGCTCTCCTTCGACGGCGTCCAATTCGCCGTCAGTTTTTTTATCGGAGAGTAAGTCTGAGTGTGTTGCCAAAGTTGGTGAGAAAGATGAGAGCAACATTCACATAGCTGGAGCAGGGCGAGACAGTGACGATAGCAAACAGCAGGATGTAACATCGCAGCGGCAGGTGCATGCAGAACTGGCCGAGTCCTCGCCGCCCTTTCTCACTTCCAACTCGCGTTTCCGTAACATGACGCTCCACACGTCCCACCGCCTCGACCGGTTTACGTCCGGACTGGTGCTGCTAGCGAAAACGAGAGAGAGAGCGAGACAGCTGCAAACGGAGTTCGTCAACGACAAAATTCAGAAAACCTACTTCGCTGTAGCGGAAGGGAATTTGATTCAGACTTTATTGGAAGCGGAGAGCAATAAGAACGCGAGAACAAACTTAGTTCCGGCGTGCTACGACCCGTCCGATGTGACAGTAGTAGTGCCCGGAGGAGGACGAGGACCACAAGCTTCGGCAGGGGGCGATGGGAACACGAAGATATCACCTATGATCGATTTCGACGGTCTAGGCGAAAATAACCTCCATTGCCTCGTCCACGGCGGCATCACGTGCGTAAATCACAAGCTGGGCGAGCACGCGTTTCGCCGCATGGCGAGACCTGAGGAGAAAGAAGACGAGGTCACAGTGACGGCGAGAAAGAAACGGAAACACCAGGAAAGCTTGCTGTCTCGAAGCACGAGCGCGACGACAAATGTTGTGGCAAGCAATCCCCCCGCACCAGAATCTTCAACCTGCTCCTCAACGGACACGCACGGAAAGCCCGAAGCTCAACAAGTTGAAGAGCCTGCAAAATGGTCCGAAACGTACTTCTATCCCGTTTTTTACGACAAAGCTCAAAACACCACTCTGGTAATCGCAAAACCAAAAACGGGGCGGACGCACCAAATCCGCATTCACTTGCAAGTTCTTGGGCACCCGATCGTCAATGATCCCTGCTACAACGAAGCGTATCATAAAAGGCGGAAGGGAACGAAGAACGGAAGTAGTTGTAGTGCGACAGCAGGCGCGGACGGAGCAGAAGCTGCAGCAGTTACGGAAAAAAATTCGGCGTTCACTGTTAAGAACACGACCAGCGAACATAGTGGCAGGGATGAGTGTGTGTGTGATGAAGACGTCGATACTTCTTCGGCAGTCGATGCTGAGTACCAACAGCTCCGAAGCGACTACCCGCTCTTTCCCGGCGGCCATTACTCGGGCATTTTCCTGCACGCAGTGGAGTACAAAGGCCCGGATTGGGCCTACCGCACGGCCGTTCCGGAGTGGGCCAAGAGTTTTTCAACGGAAAGAGTGGACGAGGACGGGCTCGTCAGGGCATTGTGATGCAGCTGTGGAGAATCTCTATGAATTCTCGTTGGCGCCATCCTCTCTATGTTTGTTTACAAGCGATATCACTCGAACTTTTATTGAAAACGACCGACGACATCAGAGCGAGAATCTGTAAACCAAGTATAAACTGGAACCATTGAATATCGGGCGCGGGCGGTGCCGGAGTTGCGCCGTGAGCACTGCTGGAAATCATCTTTTCAGACGTAGTTCTCCTCACGATCAAAACTCGAAAACGAAACGATCGAAATGAATAGTAATCTGAAAGAACTGCGATCTTGAATAGTACCGGAACCGAAGATGCTATCTGTATCTATCGTTTCTTGATCTTGTCGTGCTTCCGCAGAAAATTATGGATCTTTCGTAGACAAATCGAAGCGCAAAGTAGTGCTCGTTCGAATTACGCTGCTCCTCGAAGTCTGTTGGGGATGAATTGGATCCGAAGATGTGTGATCACTAGAAATCTCTTCACGCCTGAAAAATGACGATCAAATGATAGAACTTCAGCTGTTGTTCTTGTGGTCACTCCTCCTGAGTCGTTCATTATTGCAATTGTTGCTTGTCGTGCTTGTTTTTTGATGCTCTTCCATCAACCCATCTATTTCAGGTCAAGGTGGCTCCACAAGACTGAGATTGGAAAATAGACCCGATTGATAGTTGGTGGTATCTCCAAAAATCGAGAGGACACTTAGCGAAAGAATACCTAATCTGAAAATTTTCGAAAACTATTGATTCGTAAAGTACAAGTTTTTCCCACTTTGCAAGTACTAGAGATCCAGAGTCATTTCAATTTATCATTGCGAGAAGTTTGACTTTTACGCTACCTAAGTCTAAGAATTTCTTTACTTCTTTGCTTGATTTCCCCTTTATTCCTCCATCTAACGACGAAAAATGGGAAAGGGCGGCAAAGGAAAGGGCGGTTTCGGTAAGGGGAAGGGCAAGGGAAAGTCCTTTGAGCCAGAAGGACCCCCGGAGCGAGTGGAGGAACTTGGCGAGACGATGCACACCTGCGAAGACCAGCTGATCGTAAAATGCACCCACAACCGAGTACCCCAGTTCAACGCAAGAATATTTCTGCAGAACAAGGAGCAGATCGGTACTTTGAAAATGATAATCGCAGCCATGCATCACAGATCTACTTTTTATACCTAGTTCGGCATGAGAAGTTCCAATGTAGTTCTTCTTGACGCAATTTGTCATGCGATTTACACTACCCACAATGCGATTGCAGCAATGCATATTTTGCATTTCCAAATTTTCTGCCAACCGAAAATGAACCCACTATTACAGGTAACCTCGACGAAATTTTCGGGCCCATCAACGACTACATGTTCTCAGTAAAGATGGCCGAGGGCATGAAAGCAGGGTCATTCAAGAAGGACAGCAAGGTGTTTATCGACCCCATGAAGACACTCGACTTCTCAAGGTTTTTGCCGCAGAAGGCCGGCGCATCAGGCGGAAAGGGAGGAAAGAAAGGTATACTACTTGTGATGCTGATGTTTCACGCATGGTACTATGGCTTTGCTTTTATGCTCAAATACGCATGAGAAATCAAAATCTACTGACTGGTGTGAATCTTCACGTTCATCATCAATGTCAAACATACACAATTTTTCCCAGGTGGCAAGGGCGGAAAGGGAGGCAAAGGCAAGGGAGGCGACAAGGGTGGTAAGGGTGGAAAGAAGGGAGGCGCGGGAAAGGGCGGCGTGTCGAAGGGTGGCGGCAAGCCGTTCGCCGGCCGAGGCGGCAAGGGCAAGTAACTGGAGGATAAATGCAAGTCGAGTTGTATTCGGCTACGAGTACGAACAGAACAAAACTTCAAATCTAGCGAACAAAACTAACGACGCGTCTTCGGGAGCGACATTTCGCATGCTGTCACGGCGAAGGAAGCAGGAAGCAATAGAACAACTACAGGACGCGGCCGACGCGCGGCCCGCGGTCAGAGAGGACGCTGTGAAATGTTGTTTTCCGGAAAGATGTGATTGTCATTTACTCACTTTTACGCATTTTCATAGAAATCTTTGGTCATTTGAATTGTTATGGTCTACTACTACACACGCAAATTGACTGCGCACCGAAGAAGGATGCTGGAAACCAGCACCGCTGCTTTTTGGGATTGAGTATTCAAGCAATTCTAAAAGGAATTGCAGCTGCAAACGAATAAAATTTGCAAAAGAGCGAGGAAGAGGCGGCGCTCTTGTTTCGACACAAGGTGCTGTCGGCGTCCTGAGATGCTGAAGCGTTGTGTACAGTGCTGGTGTTCCGCAGCTCAACTTTTGTAGCAACAGTCGTGTGCAGATCATTTTCATTTTTTGCCGCACCGTTTTTCTGTGTGATGCTGATCCGTCATCTTCGTAAAAGCTAAATGCACGTCGATCGATAGAACATAGAGCAGCAAACCCTTTGCAGTGGTTGGCCATGGATTTCTTCAACTTTGCGTTTCTTTCTGTGCCATCGAGATCGCAGTTTGAATTTTTCTTTTTCCGTGTTGCTTTTTCGTTTGCAAATCAACCTGCATGTTGTATCACCCAAGAACTTCGACCTCTTTCTCGTTTTGTTCGTGCAACATGTTTTGGTAATAATGTGCTATTTGAGTTATGCTAGATGGTGGTATGCTAAAAATGTATTATCCTGCTGTTGGTATCGACTGAAGTATGTGTCAATTTGTCGGATTCGCACTTCTATTGATCTACACCGCAGTTTTTTGGCTTGTGGCGTTTTTGTCCCCGCCGTCATCGGAAGTAGACGGGTCCTATTCTACGGTGCTGGAAGCAGTGTCCACCTTGGAGTTGGACGTAGGAACAAGCGGCGCCAAAATCGAGGGCGAAACTTCTACTACATTTGGAACAGCAGCAGCTGCAGCAGGAAAAGCATCAGCCATTGATAGAGCGGAACAAGTATCTGCAGCCACCAAAGCTGAACCAACTTTTTCTACGCGGGGAGTGCAGAGGACCACCAGTGCTTCGGAGTTGTCCCCGGGAAAACTTGCAGAGCGCTTTCTGAACGACTTCCCGGTTCTGAACGTCTCGCTCGGCGTGCTGCTTACAAGTATTTTCTATTCGAGTAAACTTTTTTTCATTTCTGCTTCTTGATTGTGTCGATGATATGGTGCTCATCTTTACGAATACTGTCAACCGAATTTTCACGGTGTGAAGACAATCAACGACGAAGAAACGCGGGCGGTGTGAACACTGGCCATCTTGCATGTCAAGCAGAATCTAGGTGGGATTCAGTGTTTCTAAGTCGCAATCAATCTATGGTGACTATCGTCACAGCCTGTGGGGAAAAATTTAGCGTTCCGAACAACACACAAATTTTGACGTCTCAGTCAGGGGGTAAAGCATGAAAGTTCAAATTTATTTTAATCACCCTAAATTTATGAGAAATCCGATCAACCATCGTTGATCATCACTAGCTTACAGTGTGGGATTTGAATGAACTTCTTTTTTGGTTCATTTGTATGAACATGCTGATTTCACTTGGGATCCAAATTTGAACGACAAATTTAGAGCCTGATTTCAATGAGCATTCAATTTAGGTCGTAGGGAATTTGCTTGGCTTATGATCCTGGTGGATTTCATATCTTGCCTAACATTCCCCCTTCCGAATGAACATTAAATCATCGAAATGAATCAGATGAGATGACTTTGTGTGAAATTCGCATCAATCAATCCTAGAGATTATTGAAGTCAACAAAGTGGGCTTTCGCAAATACTTCATTAGCTTTTCGTGCGGGAGCTTTGAAGATTTGGATATACTTCTCTCCTGGAAGTGGTTTTGTCAATCCATCCGCTAGATTGATATCTGTGTTTACATAGCACAAGTCTTTTACGTAGTCTCGTACTAGGTGTAGTCGAAGACTCATGTGCTTGGATCTTTTCGTGGCTACGGTTGTCTGACTCAACGCAAGCGCGGACTTGTTGTCGTTGAAGATCAACGGTAGAGATCCTGACTCTTGTTCTGAAAACCAGTTCAAATATCCTTGGTCCATAGTCATCCTTACACAGTCATACATCGCGCAATACTCGGCTTCCATTGTTGACGTAGCTCGAATCGATTGACGTTTCGACTTCCAACAGATGGGAACTCCGCGTCGATATAGGATTGTTCCTGACGTGGATCGAAAACTTACAGAACATCCTGCAAAATCTGCATCGCAGAAAGCAATAGTGTCTCTGTATTCCTTGTTTTCTAGCTCTGCGGCTTTTGTGTAGATTTCTTTGAACTTTTTCTCTTGCTGCTTGCTGTATTCCAATCCTTGCGATTTGGTTCCTTTCAAATACGCCAGAATACGCTTAGCATCTTTTACCGTTTGGTCGGTTGGACTAGCTACCTGCGTCGCTACTCTTTGTACTGCGAATGCGATATCAGGCCGGGCAACGCAACTGATATACAACATTCCGCCTACTAGCGATCTTATCGGAAATGTGGAATTCGACGGCGAGTCCAAGTCTGCGTGGGAATTTGGTAAACATGGGGAAACTACTGCGCGGCAGTCCTTCATGTGAAATTTCTCAAGCAGCTTATCAATTGCGTCTTCGCAAGTGATTTTCATGACTCTCTTTTTCGCGTTGAAGGTCAACTTTGCGCCGAGAAGGTCGCGGATCTCATTGCCTTCCTTGTCATATTCTGCGAGAATTTCTTTTCCTGGGAACTCTGCTAAAATTGCATTCATTTCTGCAGCGACAAGGTCATCATCTTCGCCTGAGATAATGTTGTCATCTACGTAAACTGCTAGCCAGAGCTCTTGCTCTTTTCCCTGTTTGTCTTTTGCAAACTTCTTGAACAAACCTGGTTCGTGTTCGGATACAACCCAGCCTAACTTCTTGAGTCTGCCGGAATATTCGTCATACCAGCGGCGTGGGCTGATCTTCAGACCGTATAACGACTTTAACAGCCTGACAACATCGCCTTTTTCTTTGTTCTTGCTCCAGCTGTTGTGCTTGGGCAGGCGACATAACACGATCTCGTCACCTAGAGCTGCACGCACAAACGCATTTGAAATATCGAACTGTCTAACTTTCCATCCGCGTGCTGCTGCTTCAACAAGTAAATACCTGTTAGCGGCATGGCTCACAGTTGGGCTGTATATTTCTCCTTGAAGAGATAGCTTTTGCCTGTTTCCTAGTGCTACGAGACGACACTTGTAGCGTCCGTCTCTCTTCTTCGTGTAGATGCATACCGTCGGGATAATCTCTAACTTATCACCCATCTCTTTGATGTCTTCTGCGGTTGCATGCCTCCACGTATTTGCTTCTTCTAGCGCTAGGCGTTCTTTCGTATCTGACTCGATCCATTTGATTGCGTCAGGACTTTCCAGACACTTGGCCCAAGTGTGCTGCAAGCCAAAGAGGTAAGGAGTTTCGTCCTCCTCTAATTCATGACGAATCTGGAATATAGCTTCTGCTTCTTTTTCAAATTCCATCGGTAGATCTTTCAAAAGGTCAGATGACGACACAAGATTGACTTTCTGCCTTTTCTTTGCTCGAGGGCCACGACTTTGGCCTTTGTCGTTGCGTTCTTTGCGCTTTTTCTTGTCATGCCCTCGGCCCTTCTTGCGAAGTTTCTTTCGTGTAGGTCCTTCAACGAGGATCCTAGGCGCTTCTTGTGTCTCGTTCTCTTTTTCATCAGCATCAACTGTATTAGACTTTCTTTTTCGATTTCCATTCTCAGCTTTCTTTTTCTGCTTCGGGGATTTTTCAGGCGCCTCCTCTGAAAACAAATCGAGCCAATCCTGATTAGGGTTTTGATTTTCCTCGCCCCCTTCCTCAGGTTGCTCACCCCCTTCGAAACTCTTGCCCTCGTCGTTTTCGACGGTTTCTTTTTCCTTCGAACTGCGTTTGTCCGCATCTTCTTCATCTTTCGAACGATCGGTCCTCGGAGCGTCCTGACCACGACTGCTTTGATCATGATCTACAGCGGGCACATTCGGCTCTACGAGCTGCGAACTATCACCCAGACGCGCCGGATTCGGAAAATCAATTAACAACTTGTCAGCGTCCGGCTTCAGATCATCTATCTTGCTGACCAGCACTGATTCATCAAACTTACAACACTTCACCTCGTGGACTCCGAAGCGGATTTTGGAGCTTTTCTTACATCGACCATCTGCGGACCACATGCCTACCAGGTATGTAGAATTTTCTTGGGCGTAGCCTAGAAAGATTCCACGGGTAAACCGGTCTTCAAGCTTCGACTTCTGTGAGTGATCCTTCGCGTATACCAAGCATCCGAAACGTCGGAAATACTTGATGGAAGGTTTTCTTTTGAAGCGTTTTTCAAATGGCGACTCGCCTCCTTTGGCTGTAGGGGTTCGGGCGAATATGTGGGAGAAAGTGCGTGCTGCATAACTCCACATACGCTTATCGACTCCGACCATCATTGCCCTCACTCCGTTCTGGTGAGTTTGATTGTATCTTTCAACTTTTCCATTTTCTTGTGGTTCGTATGGAGCTGAGTAGTCAGTATGAATCGGCGGGGACTGTTTCTGTGCTGTCTTTTTCCAAGTGCTACCTGGTTCCTTGAACTCTTTGGCATTGTCGGATCTCACTCTTTTCGGTGGTCCCTCTTCATTTATCCAGACCTGCAGCTTTGCGCCTGCTTCTGCTTTGCTCTTGCAGATGAAAGAACGAGGCCAGCTGGTTGCTTGATCGATGGCATTTAGCACCCATCTTTGCGACCAGTAGTCAGGTTCCCACGGTCCAGTGAAGTCAAAATCAACTTGGTCATTGAATTTTTCAACTTTGTAGCATTCTTTCTTCGCTTTTGCATGTTGCGCGCCTTTGCTTTTCGCGAGATCGCAGGCAGGACATCGGACTACTATTCCTGGTAGACTACGATGTCCAGCACGCTGATGATCAAGAAGCATTTTCTCAGCCTTTGTCATCATAGTGGACTCTGTCTCGATCTCTTCGCACAACAAACCCTTTTCACCTGGATCTTCGTTGAACCCAAGTGCCACGGCCGGCAGCTTGGTTCCGATCCCTTTGTGAAGAAAAATTCTCTTTCCTGTCTTCCTACTTTGCAAGTAGTTGCCCCCTTCGTCGAAAACAACTCTATAGCCTTCTTTCTTCAGTTGCTCGACACTGAGGAGGGTCTGTGGAAGGAATGGATGGAATATTGCACGCTTGCAACCAAGTGCGTTTGGTTTCAATGTGCCAAAATATCCAGGGCCATCCAACTCTTTTCCGTCTGCTACAGTTATTCGCACTGGATTACTGTCGTCCCAAGATTCGAAAATCTCTGGTCGGCCCGACATGTGACTTGTTGCGCCACTGTCGCAAATTGCATCATCGACACAATTAAAAGCTGTTTCATGATTTCGGTGCTGCTCGTCCTTTTTATTCCGATGAGCATCGCTCGCCTCGCGCACGTTCCTCAATGCTGATTCGCGAACGCTGTAGAGGTGTGCTAGCTTTCTTGCTGTGTACTCGGGCGAATGATTTTGCTCGCTTTCTTTTGCTACGATTGAAAATACTGCATCTTGTGACAGATTGCATTTTTCAACTCGTTCGGCTTTGGACGCATCCGAATCATGAGATCGAGGAAATAAAATCTTACGGATTTCGCGATCGGTCGACTCTAGAGCCTGGACTTGTTGTGTCATATTTGCCATCTCTGGGGTTGCAAATTGCTCAGCAAGCTCCAGCTCTGCTCTTTTTCGTTTTCCTGTCAGCTGTCTCGTTGGACCAGCTGCATCATTGGTACAAATTTCATCTTCATTCTTATCGAGATTCGAGAATAAATCATCCATATCGATTAATGATGAAGAATCTGGATTGAAGATGTCAAGCTTGCTGTCGAACACACATTCATCTTTTTCAAGCAGACTCGTAGTCGCTGGTGGCTCATCACCAGGTGGTTGTTCTTTTTGTGGGGGGTTCTTTTGGGGGGGTATTTTTGTTAAAAATTTAGTTGAAAAACATCGCGAATAATTTGTATTATAGCATCGAGTTTTCGTCAGCCGTAAGAATAGTTTTCTTACTTTTTGTAGTTTGTGTAACAAGCTACTTTTCTTCGAAACACCATCTAAGACTCAGTATTTCCTACCCTTCTTTCCTTTTCCTTTCTTACCTCCACCCTTCGGCTTGTCGTTGCCCTTGCGAACAGTATTCGTGTTGTTACCCTTACCGGAATTTTTGTTGGAAGATTTGTTATTGACCTTATTGCCGTTTTTGTACCAGCAATCCTTGGTGTTATGTGATTCCGAATTGCAATTCGAACACCACTTGGAATCTCCTGCGTAATTGGCCGCATGACTGTCGTCATTGCTACCAGCAGTGTGATTCTGGGTCAAGTTCGGATTTTGCGCGATCAGATTCGCAGCGGCTTGCTGGATCAGACTCGGCTTCTCTTTCTTCAACATATTGGAGAACATCTGCTTCTCTCGGTTCTTCTGAACGTGATCCGGGCGCGGGCCATGCTGGTTGCGAGAATTCTTGTTGCGGACCAGATTAGCCTTGTGCTTCGTGGTCTCTCCGTTGCTAGACAGAGCGCGTTCTTCCTCGACCATATGATTCTTGGTTTCTTCGAAACTGAATCCATTAGCCAAGGCACGCTTGTTGCACTCATCGAATTCCTCGCGCATGTTCCCGAAGATACAGTGATAGCGTAACTCTTCGGCCGTAACTTTAGCGCCCAGTTTGAAATTCCAGAAGTTCTTCAGTTTGTCAATATGTTCTTCCACGGTTTCATCTTCACCCTGCTTGCTGTTGAAATATTCCTTGATCAACATGCGGCGGGCACCGGCGGTCTGCGGGTTAGCCTTTTCCTTGATCTGAAGCATCAACCAGACTACACACGCGTCAGCCCCGGGCTCTTCCTGAATGTCCTGAGCTTTGGCTCGGGCCTTTCCGGTTAAGGATTTGAATACTGTACCATACAACTTCGCGTAAGCTGAGCGCACTTCGGTTGTGTAGGTGGGCCAGAAGTCGTTTTCGTGTTTGCCGTCAGCAACCCACTGGTCGCAGGCTAACTGATCGACCTCATCCCACTTGTCCATGCAGACTTTTCCTTCTAAGTCCTCTTTGAACTGGGGACCGATGTTCAACGAGAACGCCTGAGCGATCACGCTACCCTTGAACGTCTGGAAGTCCTTTCCAGTTTCTCCCTCGTGTTCCGCGTCGTACAGCATTCCGACGGTGCCGGAAGTGCTCGGACGATGGTCATCACCCGGCGCCCCCATCTTTTCACGATGAGCACGCGCGTCGCGGTTGTGTCGTCTGTTGTACTCGGTACACGCGTAGGCGGCTACCTGTACAAGAAATTTGCAATCGAATTCAGATGGTATTCAGCATTTCAAATGCGATCATCTTGTTGAATTCACGATGCAATTACAGACAAAATCAGAATTACGCTTAGACTTCTATTTTCAAAAACCGATGTAATTCAGTACCTTTTTCGTGGCCTGCTGTCGGGTCCTTGCTCTTGTACCGGCCTGCTGCTCGGTACGTTAAATCCGCCGCCCAAAACTGTAATAGTTTTTGTTGGGGAGGATTAACATGCGATTTTTGTGCTCTTGCCATGTGTGCTCGCATTCAAAATTTCCAATGATTTTAGAAAACAGACCGAAAATAAGTACAATTTTAGTACCTGTCTTGTTCCTCGCTCGATGCTTCGGCAAAGGTTACGGGCTTCGTAGCGCGCACCTTTGGTCGCTTTGTCTCTCTTGCACCTGTGTAGGTGTATGATTACAAATTCTCTCTTACTTTCAAACAGCCTCTGACCGTGTATCAGCAATTGATATCACGGCAGCAAATCACCACTGTTGGTTGATTTGAACTCGGTGGCTGGGGGTTATTTTGCCTAAATTTTTAGTTCAAATTCAAACAAAAATTCTATTCAAAAACACTACCAAAAATTCAAAATTTTCTTTATTTTTCTTCGTGCTTTTAGTACCTTCCTGCGGGTCTTGGTGTGGTTGGTGGTTTGGTTCTGGTCCTGGCTTGGTAGGTGTTGTCGTGTTGCGGGGGGACCAGGCTTGGTAGTTGTTGTCGTGTTGGCACTGGTCGTGTCTTGGTGTCAGCGCTCAAGGCTGTGCCGGTATAATGTCAACCGAATTTTCACGGTGTGAAGACAATCAACGACGAAGAAACGCGGGCGGTGTGAACACTGGCCATCTTGCATGTCAAGCAGAATCTAGGTGGGATTCAGTGTTTCTAAGTCGCAATCAATCTATGGTGACTATCGTCACAGCCTGTGGGGAAAAATTTAGCGTTCCGAACAACACACAAATTTTGACGTCTCAGTCAGGGGGTAAAACATGAAAGTTCAAATTTATTTTAATCACCCTAAATTTATGAGAAATCCGATCAACCATCGTTGATCATCACTAGCTTACAGTGTGGGATTTGAATGAACTTCGTTTTTGGTTCATTTGTATGAACATGCTGATTTCACTTGGGATCCAAATTTGAACGACAAATTTAGAGCCTGATTTCAATGAGCATTCAATTTAGGTCGTAGGGAATTTGCTTGGCTTATGATCCTGGTGGATTTCATATCTTGCCTAACAAATACAAAGAAACAGAAAGTACAGAAACGGATCCCAATGTGGTACTATATTTCCGACAGCAGCAGGTTGATGAACATGAAAATAAAACTTGCCGTACTGATACTGTGGTGGTATTCGTTTCGTTGTTTTCTCAGACACGCAGCAGAAGATCTTGAACAAACATATTACCGGTGCTGAGAGAACCGCACGTCGCTGTCTGATCAAAATCTAAATTTTCGAAGCAGGATCATGACGGATCCGATGAATTGCCTTTTCTTGCAGGACCTACTTGTTCCAGAGCCAAAATCAAGATCCATGAAATGTTTTAGCCCTTGTAGTCCATCTCGGTGATAATTGCGCCAATTTGTCTGCTCAATTTTTTGTAACTCTACCTCTAGTACACCGCCGCCCCCACAGATGAAAAATAAACATGAAATCCACGATGCTTGTCCAGCACTTCCACTGACTTCTCTTTCCTACTACCAGGTAGTGTTTTTTGGGTAGTGTTGCAAAGAACCTTGTGGATGAAATCGGCTCCTGGTGAGGACTCGGAACTCGATCTTATTTTGGATTGCCTCTACTTCTGACGATCAGGAAAGACAACTGTTGGCCAGTGCTTGGTATTCTAGGTGCTGGGGAAGCTGCAGAGTACACATTCTAACGCACAACTACATTCGCGACCTTCTTCTGACCACGGAAAAATCTTCGTCCCCAGGCCCTCATGAACAAATATTTCTAAAAAGTTGTTTGTCACTTCTTTTCGCGACCCGACAGACTTTCCCCACAACCATTCCCCGTAGATTTCGACTCCCCCCCTTCTGGGCATATTCTTTTATCCCGAAATGTTACCGTCAACTGCTCCGACCGACCCGGCTCCGCAAGGTCAAGCGACATCAACAGCTGCAGCAACATGCGAGGCTACTAGCGACCAGCCCGTCGTAAAAACGGAAGCACCTTCTGCTGTGCCACCACCAGCCCCAACCACGGACGCTGCAACAGTGGCAGGAGAGTCCCCTGCCTCGTCCCCGTCTCCAGCTTCGACGACAACTCCCGCTATGGTTGAAGAAGTGCCGCTCGCGAAAATGAAAAATGACCTACCTGCGGAGCACGCGGGAAGCTGCCATAAGGAAAGCCACCAGGATGAAGGACGACCTGTACTACCTGAACCTGCTGCCGCTCAACAGGTCGGACAAGACCAGCATGCTGCAAATGCACCAGCTTCATCTGTAGAGCCGAAGAAGATATCCGTTGCGCCGGGCGTATGGATAAAGGAGCAGGCGATCCCCACAAAGGCGAACCCGGAATCGAAAAACTCCATAAAGAAACGCCAGAAAGCCGAGGAATATGCGTCTAAGAAGAAGGAGTTGAAACGACAGAGAAAGGAGAAAGCCAAACAGAACAAGCAGGAAAGGAAGTTGCAGGGTCAGGAACAGCGTCCAAGAGGTAATGAAAACGATGGCGACGAGGAGAATGAAAATCAAAGCGTTTTCGATCCGAATATCAGGCTCCCCGGACAGAAACCTCCAGACCAGCCTCTCCGGCCGGGGAAAAAGGAGAAGCGGGAATTTTTGAAGCAGAAAGCGGAGAAGAACTGCCGGATTTTGATCGACTGCGACTGGGAAAAGTTGATGACGGACAAGGAGGTGAAATCTCTCGCTTCGCAACTGATGTACAGCTTTTCGCGGAACAAAATCGCGGAGGAGCCGTGCAACTTTCTGTTATCGAAATGCAGCGGTCTGGTGAAGGAGAATTTGAACTGTATCGTCGGGAGCGAAAACTGGCCGTGCTTCACGAGGTTCGAGGAATGTCTGCTGGCGAAAAACTTTGGCGCAACAAATCTTCCCTCCAGTGAGGAACCGGCTGCAACGAGTACCACCGCAGTAGTTTCCTCCACCGCTGCTACAGTTCCAGTTGAGACGAGTCCGGCAGCGAGCGGAAATTATAAAGAAGGTGATGCAACTAACGAGATGAAAGAGGATGTCGTGATGGCAGACGCGGAGGGCGAAGGTCAACATCGGGAGGAAACAAGCGCGGTACAACCACTACCACCAGCTTTTAGTTCGTCGTCCACCAACACGACCTCCTCCTCCAAGCAGTGTCCGTTCCTAACCCGGGAAAAGACCGTCTACCTCACGGCGGACACGGACGATGTTTTGACCGAAATCGACCCGGACACCACGTATATCATTGGCGGCGTTGTTGACCGAAACCGCCTGAAAAACGCGTCCAAGCAGAAGGCCGACCATTTTAACATCAGAACGCAGCGCCTGCCGATTGCGGAGTATATTGAAAGTAACATGGGGTCGTTTTCCAAAGTCCTGACGGTCAACCACGTCGTGGAGATCCTCCTCGAGTTTCAGCGCACCAAGGACTGGACGGTGTCTTTAGAGGCGGTGTTACCGAAACGGAGAAAGGACCAGGGTGAACGAGAGGAGGAAGCGAGAAAAGCCGCGAAGGAACGGGAAGCCGAGGTTGCGGAGAAGGAGAACGAAGGGGAAAAACTGGAGAAGCAGGGCGGTGAAGATGTTGCTAATGCACCTCCTTCTGAACAACCTTTGAAAGCTGCAGTCCAAACTGGTGATATTGACACCAAGGTTGATGGTGCTACCAGCAGCGCCATTGCTGAAGCCAAATAAATGAAATTATCACGTGCGACAAGTCAACAACATCTACTAACGCATTAGCCTTCACGCTCTGGCTTTTTTAGGGTGAGTGAAATGTTTTTTGGAACAACTGCGCGCTCGCACAGCTGCGCACGATGTTGGCGCCGTTCCATTCCCAAAGTCACAGACTTTATCGCCCGGTGTTCACTTTCTATCTATTTCAAAGGACTTTCGAAACACGACGAATATCAGTACATCGGAGGGATGTAGTTGCGCTTCAAGCATTTACTCTCTCTTCTGTTGAATCAAGATTTGCCGTACCTCTTTCTCACCGTCTTATGCCGTCGTTCGTGAACAATGCTTCATTCAGCATGTTGATGTTTTTTCAATCACAACTCAGGTAGCGTCGTTTCGTGTTTGTTGTTTCTCCCGCTGTACATGTTGCGCGCGTTGGTTTTCGGCCGAAGTTCAACATCTACCAGCCGGAATGGAAACAAGACTGCAAAAACTGCAGGAGCAGCGACAGTGTTTGGGAGTGGCCCACCTCGTGGTCCTGATGCGGCATTAAAGCGGGTGGTCGCAGCTGCGCGACCAAACTCAGCCTGCTCCGAGAAAATCGTGTATCTCGCTGTGGACTGAGTCGTCGTGGAAAACAAGAAACTACGACGAGCAGGCAGGCATTGACATTGATTCACATTCCTCGAAAGCAACAATTAGCATGACCTACAAGTGTATCTTCACGACGAAAATGCGGGGCGAGTTGATGCGCATGGCCAAGCACGACCTGTACTCTCCTTATGTAGGTCAATTCCCAACGACCCTAAATCACTATGATCGCATTCACAAAAAGAAAAAAGAGCCGGCGCAGATTGTGCCGGGCGATTCGGATGGTAAGCAGAAGCAAAGCCGCCCACCACCAGAGGCAGGCGCGCTAGGAATTTCCGTTGGCGGCCGCGTTGCGGCGGCCCGCGCCACACCATTCGCACTTGGCCCAGCGCTCCGGCGGCATTCCCTGGAGCCGTTGCTGGGGGGTGCAGGGCCGAGCCACTCGTTGCTGTGGTCGCATTAGCGAGCGGCCCACAGCAACGATAGCACGCATAGCACGCACAGCACGCATAGCACGCACAGCACCGTGCGCGGGCCAAAATTGTGTGCTATGTGTGCTGTGGCACCCCCGACACAGCAAACATAGCAAGCATAGCACGCATAGTACGCATAGCAACGAGTGGGCATTAGGCCGATTCTCTGCGACCCTGACTGCGCGCAGCAGGCGGGGGCGCGGCCGCAGTAGGACTAGGGTGCCAGGGGGCCCAACTGGAGCAGCCGCTTATCCAGCGAACAGCGAGGAGCTCTACACTGCAGCCGTGGGAGTTCTAATGACCCGGGGGCGTGCCACGATGCAGGGCGACAATTCAGCACTCGCTCCAGATTCGACAGCCATTTTTTTTTTCTTGTATTGCAATCATAGCACAGAAGGGTCGTTGGGAAATTGGCCTACTCGACTCTCCCAACGGGACCGCAGCGCGGCGCCGGCGGGCGTTTGAAGCTGCGCTCACGGGAGCAGATGGTGAAGATGCCGCAGGAGCTTCTTCTACACCTTCGTCCTCTTCCCGGGACCCTGGTTCTTACGATGGGGCAGGTGCATCCGGTGGCACGGCTACTTCTTTCGCAGAAAAGCGGCGCGCGATGGAGCAAGACACAGCACGAACTAGCAAGAGGCCGTTCGATTACCTGCACGTCGTTGCGGACGAGCAACAGGAGGAGACTAGTAGGAAAAGGCAGGATCTTCATGCGGCCAAAAACGATGAACAAAGACAAACCCACGAGCAAGATGTGGAATCTGCTGGCGCGGAGGGCAGCGAAAAGACGAAAAATAAATCCGACGCGCCTCACAAGAACCCGCGTGAGAAGAAAACACGGCCGCTGACCTGGGACGGCAAGCGGGTGGACGGTGACCGGGAGTGGGACTTTGAAAAGGAAAAAGACGACGAAAATTGGGCGAAGCTCACCAACAAGGAGCACCTGATCCGCAGCGCGACGGCGGACGCGCCTGGGTTTGACCAGCATCAGGCCACCTGTGCGCACCGCGACTGGGCCTTCGTGCGAAACATGCTGCGCAGGAAAAGCTATGCATTGCAAAAAAATTATCGCACTCGTACTGATTGCAATAGCAATCTCGCACGACGATACATCTTTTTTGTCCCTGATTCTCCATGAAAATTCTCCTTTAGCCGAAATTTCTGATGCACCTGTAACCACCAGTGGCAGTGCGATAGTTTTGCAATGCATAAGAGTAACATGTTGTGGAGTGCGAAGAGCGACCCGTACTTTGACCGCATGCGGAGTATGAAACCCAGGGGGTACAAGATGAACAAGAGCGGATGAACGGCTTATTTTGAGGGACAAATGTTTGACTCAAAGTCAAACTCAAGAAACTCGATGGCATTCTGAATGAATTATGCTGGTACATTTCAAATGTCTGTGCACTGTCGTTTGCACGCAGCTAGTGCTGTATCAATTTAACTCTCCTGGTGCAACTGGGTGCTGTGATGACCACAAGTGAAGATAAGCTTGATATCTCTGTTCATCTGCAGGAGCGTGATCTGCGGTTGTGCTTATAGAAAAGCAGCATCTGAATGTAAGTGTAGTTCAGGCGTGTAGTTGCTTTTCGCAACCTATGTGTCTCCTGCTGTGCTGGAGTTGTTTTGTGAGGTTGTCCTTGCCTACCTGTTGCAGGAGACGGCTCCTGATGTCGCGTGATTCATTGGGGACAATAGTCTTGTGCGAGGGAAAAAAAGCCTTGTGTTGAGTCTGACTGTGAGTGTGGTGTGAAGGTTCACAGCAACATAAGTAATCTAGGATGCAAGCCTTGATGTAGGAATTATGGGAACGGGTGGGTGAGCGTGAGAACAGAATAACCAGTTGAGTTCTTGAGCGAAACCACCCTAGAAAGCAAAGTGGCTCCTGTCTGCAGGTGGAATGTCGTTTGTTTCAGCTGGGCAATTGTTCCATCAAATTGGAGCCGGGCTGTCGAAGGGTTTTTCGCATTTACTGTAATTTCTGCGCATGATCACCAGATAGGTTGTTTGCGAAAAGTGCTTTTATACTGAATTGAGAATTTTTGTTGTTTGCCAGAAACTAAAAGACAAGCAGATTTTATTTCCAGCCCTGATCGAGAAGGAGCTACGGTCGAAGCAACGTCGTAACGACCAATAGGGGAACGGGAAGGTAAGGGAAGAACAAATAAAACCGGACGACCTACAAATTATACCGATTTTGTTAAAACCAACAACCGCGACGGCAGACACCACGTTCTTCTAGCGTCAAGAACAACAAACCAGCGACGATACCACGAATTTCGTCTGCAGCTTGTTGACCCACTTCCACGGACGAGATTTTGACGCACTTTTGCCTACACATAGTTGACCTATCATCCCGAACCAGAAACCGGAGCATCGGCGGCAACAAGCTCGCTTCAGAATTTTTCAAAAGATAGTACGAGTACGACAAGAGTTCAAATTCAATCGGGACTCCGGACACAGTCGCAGAGATCGCACACACTGCAACTGCTCGCGACGAACATCTTGAGCTTCCTGGTGCGGCTAGCAGTGCTCCTCCACTGCCTGCCCTTCGTCCATTGGAAATACCTTTCCTACCACGACGGACGCGGCAAGGCGGAGAGGAATATTCTTCTGTTCGAATCTACAATCACAAAACTCACCACCCCGCCCGGACCGCGATACAATTGCGTGCGCGCCGGAGAACAACAACATTCTCGTACGAAAGCTAGCAGCATGAAGAACACGTCGTACATCTCGACCTAGCGAGTGCTGATTTGCTTTTCTTGCAACTCACGGTGTAAGGTTAAAGACGAAGTGTTTTATTACCGGGCGACCGGCGCTGCCCCACGACCTGGGAAAATAGCATCAGCATCTTAAATTCTTCTGCACTGCTGCGACCCCGCGAAATAAATCGGCGAAGAAAGTAGAGCAACGCAGTGCACTGCAGTGCCAGTCTTCACGTCATCCAGACAAATCCCCCCGGTGGCGATAGCTGCGGCAGGAACACAACTCATCATGGCGAGCCATCTCGCGTCGAGTTCTTCGAGCGCGACCGGCCCGGCGCACCAGCATTCGGACCAGTCCTGTCCCTCCTCAGGCATGCCAGAGGAGGCTTTTGTGCCCAGCGTGGACCTGCCACCATCATCACTAGAGAACCAAATGGTAGAAAAAATCCACCTCCCGCAGGCGATAGAAGAGTATAATTATAGTTGTTTTGATGTAGTTGCTTCGCTCGTCGTGCATACAGATGCTGATTCATCTGATGCAAATTTCACATGCATTTGCATGCCAGAAGATTTGTTGCACTTATGCGAAAAGAACGACAAGGAGTGAAAAATAAAAAAAAAAACATAATGTAACAGGTACAGCGAGCACATTTTCAAGCGGCTTTTCGCGGTTGAGGAAGAGAGTCCAGATTCACAGCGAAAAAGGCACCCACAGTCCGAGGTGAAGGAAAAGATGCGAGCGATTTTGGTGGACTGGCTGGTAGAGGTGCAGTATGAAAAGAGAAAAGAATCCGACTGCTACACAAAATGCATGCCGGGCTTCATCTGCAGAGCCAGAGAGCTGCCGTTGCTTTTCCCTGCAGCTGGCAGGAGAGAGTACCACGTGAAACGAAAGCAGCGAACAATGAAATCAAGTAGACGTCGAGCTGTATTGTTGACAGTGGTTCTTGTGACGAATTCTTTTCCCTTTTGATACGTGCAACAAGTTCAAGCTCATGGCCGAAACTTTGTACCTAACGGTAGACATTTTGGACAGGTATCTCGCGAAAGCCCCGGTGGAAAGACAAAAGCTGCAGCAGGTATTTAGTTGTCTATTTGTGTAGTTTCTCTTTCTTGGCGATGGTGTTGGTGTCATGCGACGGACGAATTTTTTTTGTTCCGAGTCTGCATCTGCTCTATTTCCTTGTGCTTGATGTCCAAATCAATCACAACGCAGGTTGGTGTGACGTGCCTTTTCATAGCGTCAAAGTACGAGGAAATACATCCCCCGGAAATCCGAGATCTCGTCTACATAACGGATCGTACCTCGTACGTCACTGCAAAAATGTACCGTCAACAAAGCTATCACGTTTTTTCTGCATTTAGTATGAGCAGCTGTAGTGCAGCCAACGAGAGCAGGAAATGCTAGACCGGGATGAACACTCCCTATTTTTGGCTATTGCGTCCTAGAGTGTGAAGACGAGGCACAAAAGAAATGCCAAAAATGTGATAGCACAATTGATGGTAGGTTTTTTGTAACGGCATACTTCACGGAAATACTTGCCTTTGCTCTCAACTTGCAATGTACTAGAGCCAAGAACATCAAGTAGAAGTTTTTATAAACATCTACTTGATGATGTTGGCTCTTCACCAGAATGCGCCTGCTTCGCTGCAGAACTGCAGAGCGCATTGCTAGTTGCCCACGATGGTGAAGTTCGTCAGGTGGATAACCCATAGTTCCTCAAGAAACGATATCCTGGACACGGAGATTGCCATCCTGAACACATTAAACTTCGACGTATAATTGCATCGTACTTGTTCTTCTTCAAGAAAGTTAAGAGTCACCTACTTGTTTGCATAGAAGTACAACACCGATGCCACTGCAATATGCCAAATGAATCAAGGAGCATGACCATGACGTAGAGACGAAAATACACTCTAAAAATCGTGAAAACCACAACTCATCGCAGATATCTGGGCCGACGATATATCACTACGTCGCATACTACGCCCACCTCGCCTACCCGTACCCACAGAGCATGTGGCCCCAGGAGCAGCTGAAGGCGTTCAATCTCGCCTGCTACACGCTCGAGATGTGCCTCCTGGACTCGAGGACGCTGCACAAGCACCCCTTCTCAAAACTCGCAGCGGCGGCGTTGTTCATGTACTGCTTTTTCGAATAGCGATGGATAACGCTAAGAACGCATCAACCGACTTTTTACCTTTTGCAACACATGATGTACCTACTACTTTATTGCTCTAGAAGTACTCGAGCTCGATTATCATCGCAAGATAGAGCATTAGCGCAACGTCATGTCCTTTATCAATGACAACACCAGGTCGAAGAAGATTCTGCGCGTGAGTCCGTCCTGGCCACCACCCTTGATCGCAAGAACACCCTACTGTCCGCAAAATCTCAAGGCGTGCGCGAAGGAGCTGGTACTAGAAGAAATTTGGTTTCCCTAGGGTGGGGGGTTTTGCTCTGAATGGTACTTACAACTTCTCATGCAATCATATCACTGGACCTGGAGGTATCATCTTCATCAACATCAACGGAAGAAGTGCTACCATGCATGAGAATCCTCAAACACACAACATGATTCAGGTGCCATTAGTGACCAGTCACGGGCAAAACCTAATCGACCCGAAGCTGAAAAGCGTCAAGCAGAAGTACGCTACTGAGGACAAGATGGAGCTGTCCTCGATCTATTTCCACATGTAAGTACTTCTAAAGCGGAGGTGTAGTATGTTGCGGTAGCGGACGCTAGACCTAGAGCAGCTGTTCATCTATCATCGGGGGATGATACATCGGTTTCAACCGTTACCGTGCTGCTGGAGGGAATAGGAATAGCATCCTCGTCGACTGGAGCAGGGAGCACCGATTTTTGAATGATGTTTTCTTTTTCCACAAAAAAAACCTCTTCGTCAGGAGAACCAAAGAAGGGTAAAAATATGTCAAATATTCATTGTTTCAGATTTTACAAGAACAGATTGCTTAATAACAAGTCAACAAATACTAAACACCAAAAAAAAAGCGACGAGCCAACACCAGGCGTCGTCGCTTTTTGGTATTGAGTTTTTTTACGATTTTTACGTAAGAGTCGAAGTTACGTTTTTTGTTTCCGTTTCTTTTTAGAAATTCGTTTTGAAATACAATTCCAAGCGTGCTCGAAGATACTTCTACATGGCTGGTGTTGAAGTAGATCTACCACTACTTCAAGCCTGGAAGGTCGGACTTGCGTTTTTTTTCTTTGCCATCTTCGACGTTTATGGTTCCAAAATTGTGTGTCTCGACGAGGACGACAGTTCTGCCGTACTCGCAGACGACGAAAGGTGTAGCGTTTTTTTTTTTTTGGACGTAAGTACAACTCGCATTGCAATTTTATTGACCAACTGCACGATTTTTTTATTTCAAGGGAGGCACTGCTCCAACTCCTACAGAAACGAGTTTCGATTTCGAGTTTCAAAGTTTCATCATGGAGGCACGACAACGGCGTAAATGTTAAAGAGCATCTATGCTGCACAGTAGTATTCTTGAGTAGCTACCTAACAGTATGATCGCAATCGAATCAACTGATAGAAGCCCAGGCATTGTAGATAAAAGTTATTTGGGAAAATTGACACGACACGACAGTAAAAAATGAACATCGATCGTTGTAGTTCTCTGCATGACACACTGCAACAAATAAAAATAGTATTATTTTGATGTGCACTCTCGTTAGTATAGGTTGTCCGATGAGCAAACAACTTCTCTATCAAACTACAGTAAGAAAATGATGTGAAGATTTTGAAACTGGTTTGCGAGGTAGAAGATTAATTTTGGAACTCCAAATAATTTCACGATATCTAGTACTAGGTGCGGCCGCCAGCTGTAGCTCCTGAATCATCCCACTTTCTCACTGCACGCGATTTTCGAGTATGGCTTGATTTCGAATCGCAAACACGCAGTGATGAGTGCGGAACCTGGTGCAGTACCGGATGCCTTTCCTCTTCAGAAGCTAAAATTTTATGTGCGAGTGCCGCAGCAGGAACAAAAAAAGCCATAGACGAGGAGTTCTATTGTGTAGTGTATTGGTCTACGACTACGAATATGTCTCGCTACTATGTACTGCAACTTTAGTATATAAATCTATGCAGGTATGATGCAGCGAATAAAAAAGCCATATCACTCGACGAATTTGTGTCAATCTGAACCAGCATTTGCTCCTTGTTCTCCTAAGGCTGTATGACCTAGGCCGTAGGTGGACGTAAGCACTAAAGCTACCGTGACATGAAATGATTATGAGAGGGGGTAGTCATCTCCACTAGAAATAGAATTCTATGTTGCTCTATTGCACGATGGGATGCAAAAAATGCACACGTCTTTTCCTTTTTGAAGTTTCAAAAGAAAGTTTCGCTTCCGAGTTTTGCGAATGCAAATCAGGGCACATTCCGATTTATTTTTTTGCAAAATGCAATGCTAAACGTAAAAGTTTCTGAATAAACAAAAACATGAATTTCATACGTAATATCCAGGTGAACCTCTCCACGGTTGTGCTAGCGGCGCTTACTGTTTATTATGCCATTCCGAATGTTCAGACAGTTCCAGTTGCAGTTCTCATCGTGGCTTTCGGTTGGCTGTATCAAGACGTTTTACTGACAGCGGCACAGCAGGGTGAAAAGGTGGGCGTTTTTCTGGGCGGGAGTGACGTTGTCCGCGCTGTAGTATCTTCTATTGTACCACCGCAGCTCTTGCTCTTCAAGATCTAATTCTATGTCTATCTCTTAAGGGTGGTCGCGTCGTGGTCTAATTTTGCTTTCTGCACAAAATCCTGTGGTTGTGGACTCAACTACTTACACATCTTCACGGCAACATGAATCAATACCTAAACCTGTACGATGATATCATGAACCTCGTGTAGTACTTCGCCATGATTCATCTCAGAACAAAAGAACGGCATGCACCACATCATCTCTCTCACGAAATAAAGGATAATTGGGATACAAATCACAGGTAGAAGTCGTAGTCTGCAAAAACGTATCTCACCCATAGCTATAAACTGACTGGAGGACGTATAATCTTCTTCGATTTTTTGTCACCGTCACGAATCGGGAAAAAAAACAAACAGGGACAGTAAAGCTAACTAGAAGCAAACTATTCTGTGAAGAGTTTGTTGTTATCTGCTCACGCACATGCCTGCAAAAAGGCTGCTGGGCTAACGACTACTCCCCACCTGTTTACGACGTAGAGGTTGGATGCTAAAAATTCTTCCTTTTTGCGGTTTATTTACTGATGAGCTTTCCTGTCGGGGATGTTGACCAAAAGCGGACCCTACTGCACTCAACTTTGCTGAGGACAGATTGTCTATACGCTTGTGATGCCTGCTACTCTGACTTTTAGCAAAAGCAACCGGCCCGGAGCGTATTCTCCATGATCTAAGTAAGTGGTAGTGGACACCGCGCGAGCCGCCGCTGCTACTTCTCAGCTCCCGGGCGATATGAGAAGTTTAGGTTCCAACCACCCAGCGTTCGTTGCGTTTGATGATATTCGGCAACGCTGTGATATAGTTTTTGGAGAAAATAAAAAGAAAATAAAGGAAGAATACGAATACTATGTATGCAACGAAGTTTAAGTAGTGCAAGTGGATACAACTACTCTAGTAAAGACAAACCAAAACAAACTCGCGGGCTCGACGCACGACCGCACTACACACTAGAAATAAAACTTCTTCTCTTCGGTTTCGAAATTCAAGCCTCGAAGATAGAGGGAGCTGTCACTACACGTAAACTGCAGAAGATGCTGATGCAAAAAGCCACTGTATGACGACGTACTGCGGACCTAACAAACTGAAGTAAAAGAAGGGCTGTTGCTATACTAAACTTCTCTGATGAAGCAGCCTTTGAAGATGTAGACGAGCAATTTTTTTCCAAAATACCACATGATCAAGAAAAATGTCCCTGGACAACCAGCACCACGGACAGGGAGCAAATCCGAATCAGATAAAGGCGCTGCTGCGCCCCTCAAGCAGGGCCGTTGAGTGTTCTCTCTTTGAAGTTATACATCTTTAGTTGTTTTTCTTTTTGTACTTCTTCTATGGTGGAGTGACGCACGTTTCCTTGAGGCTTCTATCGAGAGATTGCCGTTTTCCGTTTTTGCTTTTTATCATTCCGCGCTTCGGTTGAGATTGTGGCCCGCTGCTGGGGGTTATATTGAGGACACAACCTGCTCAGGACCCTCTCCCCTCGCACTCGACCGCAGCGGTTAGTTTTGCACTCGCTTGCTTCGACGAGACGGGGTCTAGCAGACTGTCACAAAAATGTCGGACAAACACACGCATACGGTGATAAATGAAATCCTGCCCAAGGCCGGCCTCGTCTATTCGGAGAAAGGCAACCTGTCGGAGGTACTGGATGCTGGGGTTCGTTGGGTTCAATTTGAAAACGCGATGTTGCATACTTATTTTCATTTTGAGCAACGAACTGCACTGTGATAGGGATCTGTCATCATGAGACAAAAGACGGTAACCCTCAGAGTAACGATGGCATGGCAAATCCAAATCACATCGCAGATTCTTTGCAAGCCGAAGATTATGCCACTCAAATCGGCGACGTTGCAGAAGCTCGAGACCGCCGAAAGGAACCTTGAGGAGGCAACAAGGAAAGACAAAAACAGTTCCTGGACCCGGGAAGACTTGCAGCAGCCCACTGGGGGTGGAGGAGGTGGACAGCGTGGGCCGACCGTCACTTCTGAAGTTATGAGCTTTGACTGACGAAATCATTATGATGTTTCATCTTCACATGATTCAGTCTGTGATGGCCGCGGTTGTTCGAAAGTCTGTTCAGACCAGAAGAAATAGAAGCAGCATAGTCATGCTTACATGATTCGCAACCATCAGCATCATGTCTTCAGTTCGGCGTGGTGCGGACATGGCGAACAAAGTGCTGTCTTGTTCGCATTGGTCGTCGTGTGGTGAGGACTACGTAAGATAGGACAAGCTTGAAATTATCGACTAAGCATGTTTGAAAACCAAAACGAGCCATCGTGAGAGTTGTTGTCGAGAGTCACGAGTCACAAGAAGTAGAGTTCGACCAGGATCTGCGGAGCGAATCAAGAAAGAGTGATGTTATTTCGTTAGGTGCACCATATCGCTCTTCAGAATGTCGTGCGGCCTGTAATGCAAAATGAAAATCAATATTGTCTTTGTCAGGCTCTCGGTCGTTGTGTCACCCGCTAAACTCCTGACAGATTAGGAAAGGGCCCTAAGCGCCCACTTCTACAAAGAATTGAAACGATAAGTGTCACGCAACGTTGTACCAGTTGACATCGAATAAGTTGGAGCTGCAAATCAAAATTTTCGTCTCGTATCGTTAAAGATTTGCTTTTCACAACTAATTAGTAGTGCCTCAATCAAAGAAGCAAAAGTATAAGTTGGTTGATAATACTAGAACTCAAAAGATTTATCTGTATTGGTCGCTCTTTTTTTGAAAAGATCTATCAGCGCCCTCTCTCTAAATTTACCATGTACAACAACTGGTGGTCGAGATCGTGCTGTTCCTGCATCGTCTAGCCAAGGACGCCAAAGCCGGTTGGCGTGAAGCTGAAGACCACTGCATGAATCAAGCTCGTCATTGATTCGTCGAGTCCCTCGAAAAAGAAATCACTATGAACCGCCGGGCGCAGGCCAAGCAGCGGGTGGAGGCCAAGACGAAAACAACCGCTTCCACCTCGCCCGAGAAACTACCCGCTAGTGCTGGCGGTCAAGAACCACCTCCTGCGGCCGAAGCTGCACAGCTCTCTTCAGCTGCCCCAGCCGAGGACAATAAACCTCCAGGAGATGACACCACCGGGGAAGGGGCTCCAACCGCGCCCGCGGAAGAGGTGGACCAGCACGTGAAAATACCTGCCGATGGTCCAACCACTGCAGCTGCATCAACAGGCGATGAAAAGGTCCAGTCCGCGGAGCAGGGGAAACTACACGAAGATTCCGCCTTACCGGGAGATCAACCTCCTGAGGAAAACAACAACGCCGAAGATGATGAAGATCAGTCGCCCGTCGAGAAGCTGGACACCCGGCAGCAATTCCGGGCGAAATTTAAAACCCGCGAAGAATTCATTGAAGCGCGGAACCGGCAGCGGCAGGAGGCGAAGCTGTCCAAAATCACCGAGGACGGAGAGCTGGTTCCCTGGCGCACCGCCACGCCCGAGCGGATCGGGCGGGCGAGTCAGGCGATCGGCCTGCAGTTGTACTTCATGTTCTTAAAAGGCAGCGTATCCACAGTAAATTTCCCGTAAACGTACAACTACAAATGCGATTTCTGCATGACAAAACTTGCCGTCAATCCTATTCAGCATGACAAGCGACACACTCTGCTACATTGGCGAAATTTGTCATGCATTTTGTACCTGTTGTACAGGAAGTTTGTATTGTATACATCGCTAAGTGGCTCGCGATCTGGGTGTTGCTGGTTTCCCCGATTCTGTACATCGCGATGCAAGACGATTCCCCGGACGACGAAACACTGGAGGTGGGCGGACTGGCACTGTTTTCCCTCGCGAGCTTCGGCGAGCAGTCCGACAAGACGAAGTCCGGCGGGACAAGGCGCGTCACGATTTTCGGCACGCAATACCGCATGGCCGACGTCACACCGGTGCTGTCCTGGCTGGCGGCCGCCGGAGCGTTCTTCTACTTCATTTTCTGCGTCTATTTCGAAAAGCGGGTGGTGGCTTCCGCGGAGGAGGAGCTCGATAAGCAGGCGGTAACGCCCGGGGATTTTACGGTCATGGTGGATTTCATTCCCTACGAGCTCTTTGAAAACGGCCGGACCGCGGACGCCGGTTTTTCCCAGGTCGCGCCGGAATACAGTCTAGGGGCAGGAGGAGACGAAATCACCGAGGGAGATAATGTAGTACGCGAAGACGCCGGTGGTCATCAAGGTCATCCAGCAAAAAATCTGAAGAGGCGCTCGTTTACGCGAGAACGGTGGGCGACGTTCCAGTTCGGAGCGGGAATCGGAAAGGGAATCAACAGCAATGCAAAGGGAGCAGATGCAGGACCTGGCGCAACGAAGAAGAAGTACTCTCCAACGGACCAAGACGAGCAGCAAGATGGACAACCAGACAAAGGCTCACCGCACCAGGCAGCGAACAAAGACTCCGCTCCGGCCGGAAGTTTCGAGTTTGCTGGTACTACGAAGCAGGACACGAAGTTGACTACAGCGAGCACGAACGGAGGTAAGGAGTCGAACGTGGACGTCGCCAGCATGGCCGCGAACATGAGCGGAGATGCAGAACAAGAAGTAACTACACCCCCGGAGGACCAGCAGACGGATGAAAAGGAAAACAACAAGCTGAACAGCTCTATACGCACGTCGATTTCCTCCCTAGACAGCGACATCGACATCTATTTCTTGAAAATTAACCATCCCCATTCAATTTGTCATGCAAAACACGCACACAGTCCTTTGTTTGTCATGCACAAAATGGATGGGGATGGTTAATTTTCACTGAATAACATCGTCCCGCCGCCCACCAACCCCTTCCACCGCGAGAGGTACGCGCTCGAGTTGAAGGCGCATTTTGAAAACCTCCTCGTGCAAGAAAGGAGAAAGCGGCAGGAGGAGGGGTTTTTCACCCCACCGTTGGACCTTGGTCCGCCCACGGTTTGCGATGTGAGCCTGGCCCGGGACTGGAACGGGTCGCTGCTGCAGTGCAAACTGCAGGCGGAGCTGGAGCAACAGATCCGGGACGCCGAGCAGGACGGGATTCTGTCGGAGAAAAAGATCGAGAAGTTGCGGAAAAAGCTGAAAAAGATGAACGCGAAGCAGAAGGAGTCCGGCGCACACAAAATTCACCCGAACACACGCTACGTCATGCGGGCGTACGTGACGTTCCAGCTGTCCTACGATAAGGAGCTGTGCGAGTACCTCTACGCGAAGTCTATGAATCACTTCTGGCGTTTAGTTCTCCAAGCGAACGAAAAGCGGTTTTACACAAGGCCGCTGCGGGTTCTTCCTGCCCCGGAGCCGACCAACATTCTGTGGGAAAACCAGGACCTGATGCTGAAGGAGTACTTGCTGAAGAAAATGGCGGTTTTTCTCCTCACGATCTTCATCCTTGGTGCCTGCGCGGTCGGGGTGTTGCAAACCAAAGTCGCCGCCGACAACATGGCGGAGGACAGTTCTTCCGACGTCTGCGCTGACCCGGTCATGATGAACACGGCGCCAACGGGGAGTACCGAAGAACCCCAAACCATCCCGTTTTCGGAACAGGTCGCCCGGGAATTTCTCACCAACGTGACCACTCTCCACGCCTCCGGTTCGGGATCCCAGTACGGCCCGGGCTTCACCGCGTGCCAGTGCGACAGCATGGGATTGGGCACGTTGGTGCAGGACAGTGAACTGCGGGATGCGTGTGAGACGTACTTCTACGACACGATTGCAGTGATTCTGCTGGGTGTCGCGATGTCCTTGGTGGTTGTCGTGTTGAACATCGTGTTAAAGAACATCCTGCTCGGGATCACCTCCTGGGAGCGACCGGCGACAATTTCACTGCTGGAAAAGGGGTGCGTGACGAAGGTCTTCCTGGCGCAGTTCGTCAACACGGCGTTAATTATCATCCTGTTGAACGCCAAGCCGTTTCGGGACGTGTCGATGAACCTGACGAAGGGTGATTACAACGACTATTCGCACCGGTGGTACGCCACCGTCGGCGCCGCGATTGCGTTGACTCTCGCGATCAACGTGTTTTCCCCGCACGGCATCGACGTGGCGAAATCGGGGCTGCAAAGGCTGAAGATCTCCTGTTTGGCGAACTGCTGCGCCCGGTCGGAGCAGGATCTGCAGGGTATCTTCAAGCCCCCGGCGTTTGAGTACAGCGCACGGTGTGGTGCGGTGTTGAACACGCTGTTTACGACTTTGCTCTTCGCTCCCGGAATGCCATTGATCTTGCTCTTCGCGCTGGGAAATTTTCTCCTCTGCTATCTCGCCGATAAGTTCCTGGTTTTATCCTTCTGCAAGCGGCCCCCCAGCTACGACGAAAAGGTGATCAAGACCATGATTAGCTGGCTCCCCTACGCGTTTCTACTCCACGCGGTGATGGGGGTCTGGATGCTGGGGAACCAGGAAGTGTTTCCGTCGGATCGCGTTTCCGTGTTTGAGTCGACCAGCGGCAGCGTGTTCAGCGTGTTCGTGAAGGACGTGCTGGGGGTCACTTTGAACGGAGGTGGTGTTGCTACAACTACGTCGGACGACGGTGGCAGTGCAACATCAAGCGGATCTTCATCTAGTACCTCAGACACAACATCAACCGCAGCACAAGAGGAGGACGTGTACACCGCAAGCACTTTGTTCTCCACCTTTATCGACCGCGGGACCAGACGAGCGGGGTTGCCGTTCCTCTGCCTCTTTTTGTTGATCTTCTACTACTTCGTCTTCTCTTTCGTGAATTTGCTGCTGCGCAATCTCCTCGGGATCTTCTGCAACGCGTTCGCAGAGGCGATGTTCAAACCCTCCGGCCACGGGGCGGAGTCAAAGGTGTCCCGCACGGGTTTCGCGGAAGATGAGACCACCTTCATGGAGCAGGTGGAATTGTGGCGGAAGGCGAAAATCTGCCCGGGGTACCAGCTGAAAGACCACCCGGAGTGGGAAAGTTTGTTGAAGGGATTCGTGGAGGACGCGAGCTTGTTTGATAAAGGAAAAGGAAGAAAAGTTTTGGATGAGGAGGGATTGGAAAAGGATATTGAGGTGGCGACACTGGAAACGGCAGACTTTTTTGAGGACGATGAGGAAATCTATGAAGATTTTTACTCCTCCGAAGACTTGACGTCGATTGATGACGAATAACACGAGGAGCGACTTCTTCAAGATGTGCTGCCTTGTTTCTCCCACGCCGGGCACGAGCTGCAGCCATTTTGCGGTAATATCTGCTGCCAGTTGTATTTGAGAAAGAGAACTTTTGAACCACCTTAAGAATACTGACCATTTGCTTTTGGCTTGGTGATGCTGATGAACTGTTGGAACTTTCATCTGCAAGGAACTTTATTTTTCCAAGGGAAGGGAATGCCACCACCATTCTAGGGAAGAGCTGCCTGAACGGATATGGATGATTACCAAAATATAACGAACGCAAAATGCGAGATGATATCGGCTTTGATCATGATATCAGTACAAATTGCGTCACTTCATTTCATCGCGACACAGGGCCTGTTTTTCTCACCTTTGCCAAAAACAAACACCTTGAAGAACTCAGATCAGGCTTGAGCCGCGCGAAGAAACTTTCGGTCTGCATTGAAATTGATTGTCTCGAAATCGGTCGTCTCGGTGCTCGATCATTTATCATTTGTTCCTCTGCCTTTAACATTGAGCGATCGCTTCCTCTCTGGTGCCTTTGCTCGTCAAAACTCGCAGCAGCGGTAATAATACGAAAAAACTTGATCGCAGCTACCCATTTTTATCCTAGTTGTGCGACAAGAACCTCTTTCTTCGTCGGTTTCCTCACCCCGCCCTCCCCGGTATACATAGATACGCCTCGTTGCACAAGCTCGCGCATCAGTATCCAACACGGATTGACATTGTACTTTTTTTCTTAGCTTCTACAGCCCAGCAACATGTTGCTTACATGACGAACGTCACCTCTATTAGTATGGCATCAGCGTCGGCTGATGGGCGTGCTGATGTCGCACACGGCAGTACTGGTAGCACTTCCAAGTCCGTTGCATCTACGCAACTCGGATCGGGCGGCAATAATTTGGATTTCGCGCCAACAAGATCAGCCGCATTACCTGCCGGAGTCGGTACAACTGAACGAGAACGGCCGGTCTGCGGCGACTGCTTCCAGACCCCCGCAAAACTAAAGCCGCTATCTTCTTTCGAAGAGCGCCTGGCGAAGGCCCGCAGTCAGATCAGCAACACCCTCTCCGACCTGAGCGATAGCAAGTCGCAGATCGAACTCGCGCGGGAGAACCAGAAAAAGTTGCCACAAATCTTGGACGACCTGGAGCAGATCGCGTTTGAAGCGAAAAACCACTACGATTTTAAGCAGGGGAAGGTGTTGGACAGCCTGATGCAGATGACGCTGTTTGGAACGAACGAGCGCTTCGCAGGACTGGAGGACGACGATTTCGTGGAGCCCAACAGCGGGGATCCTCATCATCATGGGTTCTCAAATAGCAGCGACCCTGCAGGTGGAGCGATAGCTTCATCTAGTTCCATGCTAGCAGGCGGGCAGAACGCAGCAAGTGGCATTCTGAAAGCGGGCGAGAGTAGTTCGGCAGGATCATCAGGAGCTGTAAAGAAAAAATCGAAGCTGCAAAAGCTCAGCTTTGCAGACTGATAGATGAAGAGAACAACTCCTATGTTGAACTGGTTTCTGTATCTGTTTCGAGATGTTGTGGCTCTCGGCACATTCAGATTATATCAACCTGTTCCCACGTTCATAAAAAACGACAGAAAGTAGAGTAAAGTCCGAGAGTCGGGATCCGGGAAAAGCGCCAGTGTGTGTGTTCCTTCGGCAACATCGAATATTTTTACCGTGGTACAACTACAACTTTTCATTTAGAACAGCAGGACGAGGTTTCTCCGTAGATCGTTCGTGAGTTGGTGCAGTCTCAATACATCCTCTTTGTCGTTTGTCTTTGTTTTTTTACACATACCAGGAGAAGGAGTACTTGAAGGAAATTCAAATTGATATAATGCATGGAAACCTGCCCTAGCTGGACCAACATCGTCTTATCGTCTTATGTTTCCGTTTTCCTCGTGCCTACGTTTTTCTTTTTTCGCGCACAGTGGAAACAGTTTCTTTCGTTGCTTCTTCGTTCTGAACGAAAAAGCACGACGTGAAAGGAAAACTTTTAATCGTGCAAAAAATGCAACCCTTTCGTGCTGATAATGGATACGTACGTACGTTCGTGCTCGCAATCGTACTTCTACCAGCAGCTCGCGACTTCATGTATTCTTACGGAGCTCGCTATTGCTTTTACTACTGCTCGACCGTGATCACTCCAGAAGTTTCTGTTTCGCTCTGTATAAAAATTGATTTGGCCTGTGCAATCCCTCTTGGACCAATTTGAAGTAGATTTGAGTTCTTTCATAATCCGCCTGCTTGTACTCCTTACATGGTAGTACCTGAAACAGACACAGCTGCATCCTTTTTCTTGATTTCAACATCGTAGGTAATTGGCCAGAATATTCTCTCTCGTCGCAACTCAACAGGCAACTGCAATTCCCAAACTGAAACTTTTTTTTGTGTCCATCCGCCAGGTAGAATACGAATACCCCAGTTCTTGCGGACATTAAAACTTTTCTTTAGAAGGAAGTTGAAGCAAGGTGCTGGCAATTAAAAACTTACCTCACGCGCAACCAGCAGACACGGTTTGATAAAGCTTAAGCTTTCCTTTCGGTGAGGCAGACTCCTGTTTAGAACAGGATGCTGAAGAAAGCCATGATCGTCGCTACCACCATCCCCAGAAAAAGTTGCCACAAATCTTGGACGACCTGGAGCAGATCGCGTTTGAAGCAAAGAACCACTACGAGTTTAAGCAGGGGAAGGTTTTGGACAGCCTGATGCAGATGACGCTGTTTGGAACGAACGAGCGCTTCGCAGGACTGGATGACGACGATTTTGTGGAGCCCAACAGCGGGGATCCACCTCGCGATCATATTAGGTCCGCAAATAGCACCGGTTCATCTAGTTCCATGCTAGCAGGCGAACACAACCACACGGCAAGTAGCGGCATTCTGAAATCAGGCGAGAGTAGTTCCGCAGGATCATCAGGAGCTGTAAAGAAAAAATCGAAGCTGCAAAAGCTCAGCTTTGCAGACTGATAGACTGATAGAAGAGAACAAGAACTCGCAACATGTTGAACTGGCCTCTGTTTCCGTTTCGAGATCATGTTGTGGTTCTCGGCACATTTTCACTCAGATTCCATGCCTCTGTTCCGAGGTGGATAAAAAACGACAAAAAGAAGAGATTCCAAGACGAGTCGGGAACCGGGAAAAACGCAGTGTGTGTGTGTTCCTTCGGCAACATCGAATATTTTTACGTTTACCGTGGTACGACTACAACTTTTCATTTAGAATAGCAGGACGAGGTTTCTCTGCAGATCGCTCGTGACTTGTTGCAGTCTCAATACATCCTGCTTGTCGTTTGTCTTTGTTTTACATATTATACCAGGAGACGGAGTACTTGAACAAAATTCAAATTGATATAATGCATTGAAACCTGACCTAGGTGGAGGTGGACCAACATCGTCTTAAGTATGTAGTTTTCGTCCTCGTGCCTACGCTTTTTCGCGCACAGTGGACACAGTTTCTTTCGTTGCTTCCTCGTTCATGGGCACCACGACGTTAAAGGCAAAATTGGAATCGTGCAAAAAATGCAACCCTTTCGTGCTGATAATGGATACGTACGTATGTACGTGCTCGCAATCGTATTTATACCAGCAGCTCGCGATTATAAAAAATTGATTCCGCCTCCTGCGCAATCGCAATCCCTCTTGGACCGATTTGAAGATTTGACTTTCATAATCCGCCTGCTTGTATTGCTTCCTTGCATGGTAGTACCTGAAACAGACACAGTTGCATCCTTTTTCTTGATGTCAACATTGTACGGTAAAAATTGGCCTGAGTATTCTCTTTCGTCACATCGACTCAACAGGCAACTACAGTGAGTTCCCAAACTTTTTTTTGTGTCCATCCGCCAGGTAGAATCAATACCCCAGTTGCGGACATTAAAACTTTTCTTTAGAAGGAAGCTGAAGCAAGGTACCAACTAACAACTTACCTCAAGCGCAACCGGTCGGATAAGGCTTTCCTTTCGGTGAGGCAGACTCCTGTTTAGAACAGGATGCTGAAGAAAGCCATGATCGTCGCTACCATCATCCCCCTGGGCTCGGGGGCGGGCGTTTCCGGGGCGAAGACGAAGAAGAAGGGGCGCATGACGACGACACATTTCTGGAGCGGGAAGGAAACGGCGCCGAATGGCTTCATGGAAACTGCTAGTCTGCGGAACACCCGAGAACATGATGGAACGGGCGCTGCTCATTCTTCGTGTGTGAAAACCTGCAAAACGGGCTTGTGGGCGGCAATCAGTTATGGTGTTGGGTCCGTACAAAACAAGGACACTCTATGGAAGCGTCATATTGGAAATTCACAAAAAGGAAAGAATTTCTTGGATAGGCATGAAATGCGACGAGGAATAAACAAGTTGTGCCTGTGGTCCACAACTCCCTTGCAATAGAGAAGGCAAGCGAGCAGGCCGATGACCGGGGCGTCCGGGGTTACCTAGAGTGCGGCAAAACAAGTCTTCCTGGTGGCCCCAGACAGCATCACAAGTTGGATTTGGGTGCTTTTGCAGTTTGATTGTCATGCGATGCTTAGAAACTGGAACTGCGTTGCCCATCTCTTTGATGCGTGGCAAATCCTTTCCTGGCTATCGATTTCCAACCTGACCCTTCCACACACTTTATGCCAAGATTGCTGCGGATTCGATGGCCCGCATTGCGCCGAGCAAATACTGAGCCAACTTTCTGCGTGTCAGGACTACAGCGAAAATTATGCCCCTGTTGTGAAAAAAGCCAATCTGGTGGAAGAGGAAAAGCTCCCGGCCTTCAAAAAAGAATGAAACAAGTGTTGCGACAGAGAGAGTGAGCAGCCAGCGTCGCCCAAGCAATCACACGGACACGCACAAGCAGTCTACTCGTTGGATAAGATTCGTGGAGCATTCTGTGCCCAGCGGGCATTGAGGGAGGTGTCGGCATGAATTTATTTTACACGAGCTTGCACAAGTTGTAAAGGAGTTTTTTCCTCACGCAAGTAAGTCATCAACAAATACAAATCTATCTATTGTGGGGTTGTTTTTCATCCATATCGTTTTGGTATCTACTACAAAAAGAATTGAAAAGTTTAAGTTATCGAAAAATCACCACGCCTGTTCCCCGCTTAGTTTCTGTATTTCTTTGTTCTAACATCATTGTTTTTTTAGCGCGCTTTGTCATATCTTGGTCATCAACATTTCTAAATGAGCATCCTCTTCTTCTCATATCAAAAATAAGGTTGTTCCACTCTGTCTCTGTCTTCTCTCCCGCAAGGATGATCTTCACGAATCGTTTGATGGACTTGTTGATGCAGCTACGCACCTGAGGCAATCGTGTCGGGGCCGCGTGGTCATCGAGTCTACACTAGCATAGCCTGCTCTTTACTTCATCTAAGTTTAACCACTGTAGTAGAACAAAGGTTTTCTCTAGGACCGCGTATCCTGCTCCCGTGGACGAATTCTTTGCATTCCGTGAAGCGCGGCGAAAGATCTTACCAGCACTGTTCTGACGACTTCGAGTTCAACTTCTTTTTTGCGACACCAGAACATGATGCACATGGGATTTTTAAATAAATCACCTTCTTCACAACGCTGCAGAAGCTTCTTAGGAGGCGGTTGTTTTACGAGTTGGATGGGGTTTCTTATGCCGCAGGTTGTTGTTTCGTGTTTTCGTGCTGGTTCTTGATCAACGGCGATGTGGAGAATGATTGTGTAGATTTTAGGTTCTAAAAGTCTAGTTAAAACTTGCTCAGTCGTAATCGTGTAACTGTATTACTGGCACAGTTCTCGAAAATCAAGATACTAATACATTTACTTTGTAGTTCTAACTGTCGGAGTACCTCAAGAAAATTGATAAGTGCAATGAATAAACCAGTTGTGCAAGCTGGAACAACATCTTCGTCGTATGTTTTCGTTTCCGTACCTACGTTTTTTTCACACACAGCGAAAAGAGATACTCTCGCTGCTTCTTCGTTCATGGGCACCACGTCGGAGGATGTTGAAAAGATGAACTCTATATCGTGCAAAAAATGGAATTTTTTCGTGCCGATAATGGAACCGTTCGCTCTCGCAAACGTACTTCTACCAGCAGCTTGCGACTCCGTGTACGTATGGAGCTGATTCACCTTGCTTATGAAGTCTTCTGGTGCAACTCACTACAGAGACGGACTACAATACGAAGATCAAGATCATTCTCATTAACTACGGCTACAGGCTTGAAGAAAAAGAAAATTCAGTTTCCACCCACTTGATCAGTAGTAGATACCAACGAAAAATATTCATGTTCATCTACATCAACTTCGCAAAACTTTTTTTCCATTCTCAGGCTAATTCTGGTTTAACTTTAAAATTTATCTAAGATGGCATCGCCTCGTCTAGTTCTGCCCACGACTGGGATGAGGCTTTTCTGGCGCTCCTGTGCAACAGTTACGGGGTTGCTGAGTGGCGACTCGTCCTCTATCATGCGACAAGTTGCAGCCCGCGCGATGGCGCCGTTGCTTTCCTCGTCTAGAAGTGGCAGCAAGAAGATGCTCCTAAAAAGCGGGCAAGAAGATGCTTCTACGCCAGCTAGTATGTCGACGACGACCAACATGCGCGGCGCTGCTCAGGCACAACCAACGGCCGAGCAAGCCGAGGTGCCGTCTTCAGCCGCACAAATCGTGAAGATGACCACCGGTAGCTCGGCGACCTCGATCTCGAATGAAGCAGCTGGGGAACACGATCAAGAGGATCCGGCGCAAAGTGGCTACAACTACCCCGTTGGCACTGCGGTTGGGTCCTCCGGCTTGTCGTTCCGGGATCAGGACGTCGACTCGATCGACCTCGTGGAGTTCTCTGCTTTCACCCAGATCAGCAACCTCCAGAAACCGAAGGCGTTGCTTGCGAAAAGCAATCGCAAAACAAGCGCCGACCTGGAGAACAAGTCCACGACGAGCCCCCAGCAGGTGTCTCTGTTGCAGAAGAAGCAGAAGATGGATCTGTTGAAGCTCCACCAAAAGCAGGAGCAGGAGATGTTCCTCGAGGCACAAGAAGGAACAAAAACGACCGAAAGCCAACAGCAACAGGTACAGCAGATTGTGCCCCTCATTGTGGATCCCAATTCGCAGCAAGCGGCGGCGATCGCGGCGAACCAGATGTTCGTCACGCCGGCGCCCTCGTGCTGCAGCGACCCGATCGATGCCAACCCGAACGACCAGTTTGTGCCCAAGATCCCGCCCGCCTACCCGACCGAGATGATTCCGCCCGCGGAGCCCGAGGAGGGGGGCGAAGGAGAGGCCGGCGGGGAAGGCGAAGGTGGCCGTGGCGAAGGCGGCGGGGGTGAAGGCGCCCGTGGTGAGGGCGGCGAAGGGGCTCGCGGTGGGGAAGGGGCGCGGGGAGGTGCGGAAGGTGGAGGTCAAGCTGCCGAAGGTGGTCAAGCTGGCGAAGGTGCGCGAGGCGGCGAAGGTGCGCGAGGCGGCGAAGGCGGTGCTGGCGGCGCCGCGGCGGGTGAAGCCGCCGGGGCAGCTGCAGCGGAGGGAGGAGGCGAGCGATAAGCGCGTCGGGTGGAGAGGAGATTTCAAGAGGGCGAAAGGAATCATCATCCAAAAAAAAGCACGCACGAACCTCCCCCAGTCATCTGAGATGCAGGAGCAGCATACAGGGTTTCGTTTTTCTTTTCGATCAAGTCATACAGGAGTTTGTATTCGTAGTTGGATTTCATATTCTAAGTACTAACAACTGTTTGTTTTTCTTTTTCTACACTACTCATCATGAACTCTGAGTTTCAACATTTTTTTTTTCCCTTTTTTCGCATGTCATTTCACGAGATCGAGATTTCTATCTGTCGTTCCACCCACCTTACCAGCCTGAAAATCATCATAACATTCTGTCCCAGAACCTGGACACCCCGAGTTTGAACTGCTACAACCTCGATATAATCGAATGCAGTAGCTCACCACCCAATTATGCCCGTATATCTTTTCCCCTACAACAACAACGACGGTATCCCCGCGGCTGCAAAGATACTACATAACACAGGAAGACTTTTCCTCGTCCCCGCCCGACTTATATATTGTTTTCGACCCAAGAAGATCAAGATCGTGTGAGGTGCGCGGCCACTGTTAGTTCAGGGTCCGTTTCGGCCATAACATTGTTCGCGGCCGTCCGTCGTGTTCACAGCAGTTCCTAAGGCTCCCACACGCTGTTTTTGCAAGTTTTTGTGTCTCACCGATTTTGTTTCCGCTATTCTTTTAGAGTTGGATTTGGTGTTGATCATTTTATTTTATTTTTTTTCAATTTTTCGCTTTCGCCTTCGCGGGGCGACATGGGTGAGAGGGTGAGATACTTTTTTTTCTCGAGAAGCATGAGATGCCGAGCCCGAGAGTGAGTGAGAGAGTAATTCGCGTAGACCGGCGACCTGAAAATCCATTATATGGAGGAACATTTTTATTTCCATTGTCCTTCGTTGAGACACGCCGTGAAAGTCGCGCGAGGACCGACGTCGCTACACGTCGTATTGCAAAATGGCGACCCGCACGAGTGTCCCCATGCAGATGCAGCACCAGGGTAGTGCTACTACCTCTACCAGCGGGGGCAGTGCCAGCTTTACCGCCCGAAAAACCGGCGTACTTGACACGTTGAAGAAGCTGCATGAGAAAATTGAAGCAAATTCCTACGCGGACAATCTGACCGACAATGAGGACCCTCGCTTCGCGGGTTGTACCAGTGCTTTCGACCGGTTTAACGCCAATGTGGAGCGAAATTTGGAAGATCACCAGCTGGACGATAAGATCCACAATTTTCTCCAGCAAAGCCAGTCGGAGCACGAAAAAATGTTGTGGCAAATGTCGATCGGGTCCCAGCGCATGGGCTTTTTTCGCCGCAAATCGGTCAAGCAGGCAGCCGCGCGGGAAATGCTGGAGTACGGTGGCGGTGCTGGGGTGGTCGGGGATCATGCGTCTTCCGGAGCTGCTGGTGGTGTACTAGACCAGCACAGTGGACCAGAAGGCAACAGTGCCAGCAAGCGACAATCCACTGGTGCGAGTGGTCACCAGCACCAGAACCAGAACCATAATTCCGTTCACGGTCATCAACATGGTCGCCAGGGCAATAGTTGTTCTGGGCCAGGAAATCAAAATTATACCGGCCAAAGTGGTGCTGACCATCACAGCCAACATACAGGAGGTGGCGGGAGTAGCAGCACGGGAAGTTACACGTGCACTTCCATCGCGGAGGAGGGGGCAGCGGGCGGGGCAAAGAAGGCAAGAGCGACAAATACAGCTAGCGGCGGCAGCCGGGGTGGAACGACTGGGACGACCCAGTCCACCTTGATGAAGAGTTGTGGTGCTCCGGGATCGTCCACCTCGAATAACTATGGTGGCACAGCAACTTGCGCAGGAGGGCCAGGAGGCGGAGGCACAGCGTCTTCTGGCCCCTCCCGGCACGATCGTTACGCGTGGTGGCCCGTGAAAAAAGCCTGTCAAGAGCTGATCACCGGCTGCTTTCTGCCGGCCTGGGCGCCGAACGTTTTCGAACCGAAGAACGAAAGCGTAGTACAAGCTAGTTCCGCTTCCTCGTCGCCGATAGTGAGTGCCGAGATGCAGAGCCTTGTTGATCCGCTGCAGCGGCGCCCGTCGACGGTGCGGCAGCGGCTGAACTCTTCCTCGAACGTGCTGAATGCATCGGGCGGATCGACAACGCTTGCAACGCTGCAGCAACAGTACCTGTCGAATGCGAAAGACAACAACCTCGTGGGAAACGTTTTGCTTTTCAATAACAACAGGAATAAAGCAGGCACGAGCATGGTCGGAGGAACTAGTTCTACAAATTTTTTCACTGCTGGAAACACAGCTGGAACATCAACGGCGGCTACTGGCGCTACTGGTGCCCCCGCAGCAGCTGCCTCTTCTTCGGCTGGAGCACTGCATCAGGTGGTCGAGGTTTTCGGCAGTGGAGGTTCTTATTCACACGATGGTGCCGCGAACCTGAATTTCATGATGAAAGGACCACTGCAGAACGATGCTGAAGATGAAGACCAGGATCTTCACGATTTCTCCAACAACCGGCCCGAGGCGTTTCTATCGTCGTGGACCAGATCCCAGGTCGAGACTGTCCTAGACCACGCGGGGTTCGACATCGCCGCCTTCTCCGCTGCTGCGCTCGCTCGCGGACCACCCGGACAACTGCTTGGGAAAAGCGACAGCTTGACGTCTCTGTCGAGTGATCCCAGCGCCTGCAACTCGCCACGGTACTTGGCCATCCCGGCTAATGTGCGCGGTGGGGGAAGTAGTAGTAAAATGTTCAAAAACGGGGGTGCAGCTTCTGCAGTGGGTGCAGCTTCTTCCTCGTCCCCTTTGAACAGACAGTTGTCGCCTACGAATGGTTCCGCCGGCGGTGCAAGTCCGTTTGCTTCTCCAACGAACGGTAATGGTAAAGGTCAAAATCAAGCAGCAACTGCCTCCAACCCACCTGTTGCCTCCGCACCTCCAGTGCTTTCGAAAACGATCTCGGATCTGTGCTTGGAACTTGCTCTCGGGGAGACGGTTTTCTGCAAGACTAGCTTGAAGGAACAGCTCATGTTGGAGCGCGTGGTGGCGAAAACGGGTTTGGCGAAGAGGCAATCGTGTAAAAGTATTGGGGAAATACTAAACGCTGCAGCGGAGAGGAAAAACGAAATGGAACAAGAAATACACCGGGACAGAATTTTTTCATCTGCTGGTGGGAACACACTAGCTGTTGGAGACGAGGATGAAAAAGCTTCCGCTTCGGCTGGTGACAAAAAAGAGAAAAGCGAAGGAGCCGTTTTAGCTGCGAACATGAATAAGGACGACCATGTTGAGCTGCAGTCCAGCTCCGCGCTTCTTGCGTTTGGGAAGCAGAAATCGGACGGTGTTGCGCTCTTGCGCAAGCGGGAACTTGAATTGGACTTGGAAGATGAGCAGAACTTTTCCGTCAATAAAGCCGCCGGGGACAGCACAGCTACAGGCGGTCATGACGCACAACAAACCTCCCCGAGGCAGCAGAAACTGAAAAAGATGAAGACGGAAACTTTTGCAGTGCAGCACAAGGCAGCTCGGAATAAAGAGAAGGCTGAACAAGTTGTGGGAGACGATGGCTCGCACCAGTACGGCCCGGGAGCGGATGGGGCAAAGGGTGCGTCGACCTGCTTTCGGGTAAATTCTCTGGCCAGACACGTCGAGGTTGTGTTTGTTCGGGTTGTGCGCACCAGGAAAACAAGTGACCGGACGTGTTCATCGGAGCTCAGTAGAAATGCATTGCCCGCTGCCGCTGAGGAACTGCAAGGAGCGACCCCCGATCAAGAAGTGACCGAGTTGTCCTCCGCCGCTCCCGCGTATAATCGAGAAGTGCTTTTGATTACCAAGAAGCATAAGCAACCATCCACAGAAGGAATTGGGACCACGGGCGCGAATAAACACGGGCAACAACATCGCGGGTCCGTCTCATCTTCCGGCGCGCTGCTGCTCTCCCCTCGGGGTAGCATTTTAGGCTTAGGTTCTTCATCGTCCAGCGCAGCTCACAAAACATCTTCTAATTCGGCTTTGTCCACGACAGATACGCGAGTTCGCTTGCCGGGAGGGCGGCGCCGACCGACCGAAACGTGGTCGCAAACCGCAGCCAGGGTGTTGCGAGAGCATTTGATGATCACGAATAACTACAGCAGCCGGCTTCTAGTAGGACAGAACGGCACGACAACGGCTCCAGGTACAGCAGTGTCAGCACCAGACCAGCAGGAGGAATTACATCAGGACCATTTTATCGACCAACTCTGTAGACAGCATCTTCGCGAGGTCAGTGACTTTGTTCACGCGGTGGTAAGTTCCGAGAGCTACCCCACATTGCCTACCGTGTACCACGGGCGGGTGTTTGAATTTGATTTGGATGCGTTTCTAGATCAGGATGTTGAACAAGAGCAGCAGGGTGGAAGTTCTTCTAGTACAAAGCGAAAGCTCCTCGAATTGCAGCGGCATTTCTTTCACCGCGAGCCGGCGGGGAAAACGCAGAAGTTGACCCGGAGATTGTGCTCGAAACCGGGCAAGGAGGAAATAATTTCTTTCCAGTGGACACTTGTGGAGGATGTCGTTTCTGCCGGCGGGCTTTCCGAAGATCCAGACCTGCGAAGTAGCCTGCTGGTTGCGGACTACACGGAGATCATGGGTTCACCTGGCGGAGTTGCTCCAATCCACAATGGCACTGTGATGAATGTGAATCCACCGGCGCTCATTATGGGAACCACGCTAGGCGGGTCATCCTCAAATCGACAGTCCATTGCGGTATCGTCATCGGGCTCTTTTCCGGGTGGTTTAGCTAGCAGTTCCAGTGCAGGAGCATCAGCTGCTCTTGCTGGTGAACACCAGCATCTCGCCGTGCAGAAAAGCGCAACGACGTCAAGCGGAACAACTACAAGCGCACATAACAAACCCCCGCGGCCGTCGGCACGCCGTATGCTCCCCACCACGATGTCGACCAGCAGCAGGAGCAAAACTGCCCTCACACTGCACCGCGTGAATAACAAAAACGTGATTTACCCGAACGCCTGGGACAGCGATATTTTACGGGATTTTCTCTTCGAGTGCGGTGTGGAGGATGTGCAGCTAAATTACACCGACCGCATGCTCGAGGACCTGGCTGGCGGGCTGCGTAGTGAAGCGTTTGCGTTTAAAGTGGAGGAGCAAATGCAGCAGAGGATTGTGCTTTCTTGTTCCTTCAATCTAGCTTTAATCTCCGCGAACATGGTGGACAGAAATCAAATCAACAACTCAGATTCTCAAAATAGTGGGGGTGGTCAGAAGCACGAGCACCATCGCGGTGGAGGGCATCATCACAGAGGGGGACATCATCATCGGGCAGCACATCATGGAACAGGCAGTTCAGGAGGAGCACCAACTTCCGCCAGCCGACATCAAGATCTTTTGCACCAAAATCTCATGCTCGCAAGTTCGTCGGGAGGGTCCGGCAGCGAATCGCAGACTGCGCGGGAGGGTGGTAGAGGGCGTACGAGCAATTTGCAGCGCTCTTCCATTTCAAATTCATCTCACGGGG